CTTACTTCACTTCTCTCGTGGCTTCATTGATTTATTGGCCAGGTCCCTTGAGAAAGAAAGGTCCTTGATCTCAGCTGGACTGTTCTTGCTTAGTAAAGGATGACTGAAGAAAGCAAATAATATACCTGTTATTGTACAGTAAATGTGGAGCACACCAGTGTGGTGGAAGCCGCGCATTCCCAAGCGCCCATTTTTCAGGGCGTGATGGCTGCGATTTGAGATAACCTGAGTTCAACTTTTGGAATTCGGCAGCGCGCACCACATGTCATGTGACAAGGAACAACCAGTCATAGCCGATAGATGTCTTTGCAAGAAGTTGATCATTTTAGTGCAGGGCTGCCAGAGCTTTACATCTGTCCCACGGACGATATGCCAATACACTTATAAACAGCACCTGAAGAAGATCAGCTCTGCACCCAAGATTTCAGGTAAACTGGCTATGGTACCGTGCTTGTTGAGGTTACTTAGCAACCTCGGATGCGACCTGCTGCCCACGCTTAAAAGCTGGCACAAAAAAGGCACAGAAGTAGCGCCCAGCACCCGACCTTGAGTTTTCAATTAAAAATTAAAATTAATTAAAAATGCAGCATGTGTACAGCCCCATAAACAGGTAGTTAGCCTAACACAAAGAAGGTCTAGAGCAGGGGTTGACAACCTTTACTATCAAAAGAGCCATCCAAAACATGTTTGAGCCTTTTAATGAAGGTAACATTGCCTATTAAGTGCAAATTAGCCTATCATTATTACTAATAGGTCTAAATGAGCATTTATTAATATATTTTTCCATAAGGAAGTGGATACTCTTACTATTTATGTTTTTTTGGTACTTAAAATTTGTAGTGTTGGCAGTGAAAGGAAACAAATCCAACCACACCCTTTTTCGAAAGACTACCTCTTTTTTGGATTTGTAATCCATAGCCAGCCCAGCGAGGGAGACTCAAGAATAGCCACCTCCATTGAGGTTTGGCCATAGACTTAAAAAATAATGGAAATAGCTATCGTGACATCGCCCATTGGTTTGTGGACTCCCCTTGAGTTTGGCATTATGGCCATTTTGGTTTTTGGGAATCAGAAGTGACTATATTTGGCAAGAGGCTGGTGCTGTGGAGGAGGGAGGGGTGGATCTGACTGAGATGCCGAGGACACTATCAGTAGACAGTCTATCACTCAAAGCGGGCTGGCCTTAATTATGCATCACTTTAAGCCTTGATAAAACATAAACTGGTGAGTTATAAAAAAGGAGGGTTACCTACATTTAAATCAGTTGTGTAGCAGGTTTGGCCACCACACTGTTGAAAAATATTTAAAACAATAAAATATGATTTTGACAAATTCATCAGTAACAGCTTTTATATCAGCCAAAATCATAATGAGTAATTGCAGTATAGAATGATAAGCAAAACAAAAAGCTGGTAATATCCCCAAGTTCCTGGGAAAAAAGCCAAACAGACATTCCCCAAACAACCATCAACAAACCAGTAAACAAGCTGCTGATATCTTTATGTGGATGTGTATCACATGCGTGCATGAGGTACAAGTTTTACACCTGTATCATTTGTTAGCAAAAGTTAACAGTAAAACACTATTGTGCCACATGGCTCTTATGATAGTTACTCAGCATATGGTGGTTAAACACCAAATGTTAGCTTGAAAGTTTATTTTAATAGCTGTTAACAATATTAACAGCAACTATAAAAATGTGTAACACTCATTGATTGCAGACAAAGTCTCAGAATGTTATAGATATTTTGCCTGTACTGTACGGGGCACACACTAATATTTGAAGAAGAAACTGCTGTTGGTTTACTTGCCAACTGCAGGTCCAGAACTGCAGCCCTGAACCTGCTGGCATTGCAGCTTTGCAACTGGATGTGCTGCCATTTTGGGTGCTTTGCGTCAATGATACCGTGCCCTTGTTTATTTAAAAACTGTTGGGAGTCACATTAGTTCAAGTGCACTGGTGCAATTTCAGACCTCAAAATTTTTGCACAGTCAAGCTAGAGTCAAGTTTCTAATCCTCGGCCAAGAGCAAGTTTTTCACTCACCGTCCTGCAGAGCGACTATCAATCCTCCCAGTCAGTTGAATAAACCTGCATTCCGGAGCACTTGTAACTTGTAAATCATTTTGTTCACTTCCATTCAATTTTGTAAAGTAATTAATGGCAAGTCTCCACGGCTGTTTTGGCTGGAGACAAGCTTTGAAAAGCACAACAATCACAATTAAATGAAACACCCATTGGACTCATTGAGTTGCACTGTTTGCAAATGGGAAAATCCCCCATGTCACTCAGATCTCAGTTTTCATTTCTAATCATTTAATTGACCAAAGTATCTGTATTTTCACTTACGCTAGGGAAATGTAATACTGTATCAAAGAAATTATGAATCACAAAAATATGGAGAGGGAAACCCTATCATGTACAGAGTATTCAGAATTCAGACATCCCCTCATATTGTATCCAAAATATGAAAGATTTCCGTGTGTGTGTGTGTGTGTGTGTGTGTGTGTGTGTGTGTGGAGTGGGACGAGCTGGAAATTTGTCCTGGTATGAAAAATATAACCTCTGCAGGTATACAAATATAATTGCTCTCAGGATAAGCAGTGTGTCTCTACAAGCTAAAGCACCAGTCCTTATGATTTGAATGTAAACAAAAACTCATTGAATTTACATAAGCCCTTGTTCTTGGTGGCTTTATACAAAACCTTGTTTTGCATTTTATTTTTGTTGCTGCTTATTGTTGCGCTTTCTTTCAGTGTTGGAAGTGTGCACAGTGTGATGGTGGCACCTTGTTATTACCACAGAGACTCATTATATGTCCTGTATATCATGGAGGACTTTGTCTCTTGTGATTATGAAACTTACTCCAGAGAATCATACTGTGAAACTGTATTTTGTGTCGAGGGAAATCGTATTTATCCTAAATCTACTACATTGTGATCTAAACATTTCATATTCATTTTAGCCTGATGTATTTCATATTACTGCAGGCTTGGCAGCATAATAAAGTCAGTAGATTTGGATGCCAGTTATTCAGGATATTTTGAGAGCCATTTTAATCTCTTGTAAGGCCTTTTGATCCAGATCCAATCTTTCAAAGCTAGACTTTGCAGTTTGTCCTTGACTCCACTGTGAGTTTCTCCTCTATCCACTGCCCACATTAGGCCTGGGACTCTCAGAGGAGCAGCGGTGGCTGCTCAGCGGGTAGAATTGTTTTGTGCTAAGCAACACCCCGTTGAGTACTGTATGTGCAGTATCTAACTGTCTCTCCCTCATGCAACTACATCTTCAGGACAGTGCTTTAATTAATGCATTCAGTAATGCTAATCTTACAGTATTAAGTACAATCTTACATTGTACAGCAGGTAATTGATTTATTGATTCATTTATTGTTATATGCGTCACAGATTATAACCATTTGCCATGTTTTCAGTACATGGTATCAGTTTATTCCTGTGAGTCTGAAGATGCAACCTGTTCTCATTCCCAGGTTGTCAAATACTTATGCTTTGTCACGATCCTTGGTATCTCACAGCGACGCACAGGGCACCCTTTAGCGTCTCATTGTGGTGCATAGCTGAAATACATTGTAAGTGTCATGGTTAGGTTAAGGCAACATGACTGCTCGGTAAGGTTCAGAAAAAAGATCATGTTTAGATACGTATGTTTGTTACTTGATGTAGCCTACTGTGACGTAGATACATCATGTGAGTGACAGCAGTACACAAAAATTATATGTAAATTACGCAATGTTATGTTAAAACACTGTTGATTTTTGTTTTCACACGACACAAACTGTGATCTCCTGGGTGAAAGTCTGGTTTTGTTTGACCCATCCATCTCCTTGCCCTCCCGCCCTACGAGGACTTTCTTGCTTTTTGCGCTACCTCAGTTGCTCTCAGCGTTGTGTTGCCATGGATAAGTTGACACTGGAGTTAATTCAAAGCATGGTGCATCTCACAAAGATACAAAAGAGTGCCTTTGAAAGGCATGTGAAAAAATGTTGGTATTTGACAACCTGGGAATATGACTGGGCTGAAAGACATGTTGGCTTTAAAGGCCTAGACACACACATAATTGACATGAGACAGCTAGTGGCGAAGGAGGCCGACTGTTGCTTTGGCTCACAAGGTTAGGGTGAGGGCAAAGAAGTCATGGTTAGGGCTAGTACTAGTCGATCGCAGCACAGTAGGGAGAGACTACTGTGAAAAGAGACTTTATGGCTGTGTTTCCATGGACGAAGTGGATAAACAAGGCTGCACAGACACAGTGAAAATTGAATTATTTAACTTTTTTCAACTCATTTTTAGTTATAAAAATATGATGGGAACAATAATATGGTATTATGTATTCAGTATGTTATGGGAAAATAATACGAGTAGAGGAAGCACTGGTCAGTTTACGTCCTCTTTGGGCAGACATGTTTGACAGTGGAACTGAACATCTTCCAACTTAATGTGCAGTGATGTGGACTGAACAGCCACAATGGGTAACTGCAATCTGAGGTCTTGCTATTTGTCAGATACGATCTGAAAAATCTACAGAGAAGTGTGAAAAATAAAGTTTAGAGGAGTATGGAATTTTGATAGGGAAAATGAACAGGAGCCCTGTAAATACATGTACAAGTAGAAATAAATGCAGGCTCATCAGGGTACAGTTTTGTGGCTTCACAGTATTACACAAATTGTTTGATCTTGTTTTCTGTGTATAGTATATACGTAATGTGCAAATGTTAATAAGAGCTGGTCAGTCAACTTAAACAAATCAGGATTAGAAAGAAGTCTCACTGTTATCGATTGATTTTTGGATGAGGAAAACAGTCAGGTGATTCATCTGAAGTGGATACAGTATATATTCAGCTGTTAAATTCATGCTTTGTTGCCTTTATCTCATAACTCATGTCACCCGTTTAGGGCAGTGATAGCTCATTATCAGAAGTCTAAAAACCACTGGCATAGTCTGGGCATTGAAGTCTGCTGTTTTTGCATGTCCTCTGCCCAGGTGAAGACGTGTACATCAGCTTGTATGGGACTTGTGAGGAACTGGACATCCATCTTGAGCCTGACTGTGTTCTGCTGAACAAGACTTACATTTCCCTGGAAAGCGTACGCACAGTGTCCCTCACCTACAAGAGTGACATCCCTCTGAAGTACTGTTGGACGACGTGGCCCAGCCTGCAAGAAGAGGCCCTGAGCTTATTGAGGTATTTATGCATGCGCACAACTGATTAAACACAGACAATACAGCAAAGTGTTTAGGAAAAGATGTTTTTTGAAGTGCGGGCTGTATAAGCTCCCCCCCTCTCTCGCTGTGTGCATGTGTCAAGTAAAATTACCTGCTGTGTTGTTTTTTTCTTCACAACAGCATGTGTTGCCAGAAATAGCTCAAGTGTCTATCACTTTCTTTCTGTCTGCAACTCTTTGTTCTTCTCACTGCCTCTTTTTCTCTCTGACCCTCTTCATTTCACTTTTTTGCCTTTCACCTTCCCTTCCTCCATTTCTCTAGGGAGAGCTCAATGCTCCATCAGGAGGAGGAGGAGGGGGAGAGGGAACAGTTGCTTGTTCAGTGTGAGTCTGACCCCACAGTGGTCCATCGCCTCCCACTGCTGTCCAGAGCTCTGCAGGAACGCAGAAGCCAGGCTGCAGGGAACCAACTCCTGGCTCTCTCACACAGCTGCATAACTGTGGAACCAGCGGTGTGTCTCTGTTTTCCTGTCTCTCCATATCCCTCTTGCCCAGTGTCTCACTTTGGCTAATGTTCCACACCCACCCATGGATTCGCAGCCTAGTTTCTCTCCTCATTAGGACTGTGCAGCAGAGATAATAACTTCTCATGATGTGTCTGAATAATCTAATACTTTCATTTATGCCAAGGGGGTTAACATACCTCTGTGCAGCCCCTCTGAGTTGGCAGGGATTCAGTAGCTTGTCCAAGGGCACTTGGGCAGATTGGATGTTTGAAACAGGGCTCTTAGGTTGAAGGACACTTCCTGCTAGATGCTAAGCCACCTATTGTGTGCTGCCTTGTGGCTGTAAGGACAGAAATGAGAATCTGTTGTGGATTCCCCCAAAAAGATCAGATTAGAGTTGTCGCAAAGAGTTATGTTTCAGCTCTGTTGTTTGAATGTAAATCCAGTCTGACTCTGCAGTAACAGGAGGGTCACGGACTTGGCCGCTTCTGCCTAGGGACCTTCAGGTAGCCTGACCTGTTCTGACACCGCCACCCCCCTTTTCTGTCAGTGTCTCCTCTGCTCAACTCATCCAGGTTCCCTGGGCAGAGCATGAGAGGAGACAGATGAAAAACAGAAGGAGAGGGCAGGAGAGAGAGATTGCGGGGGAGAAAGAGTAAACAGTCTATAAGCCAGTCACAACACAAACTTTGAGAGGGCATTTGAGAGAAATGGTCAGCAGTCTACTCATGCGTAAACCCACCCACCCATGCACACACACACACACACACACACACACACACACACACACACACACAGACACACATAGGTATTAGTAGGTGTCAGAGAGTGCGTGTGTGTGTGTGTGTGTGTGTGTGTGTGTGTGTGTGTGTGGAGTTGAGGCGGGTAAGATAAGTTAACTTCCACACTGTTTTCCCCACCGAAATGAATGCAATTGAAATTCCATCCATAAAACTTCTCTTGTGCATTCACACCATCAGGCTGCTGCTAACATTAACAGTGAGTGATTGTCAATCCAAGCTATTTTTTTCTGTGAGAGAATATGCATTTATAGTGTGTGCGTGTCTGCTTTATAAAATATCCCTTAAGTAAAATAACCACTTGTTTTTCTTCTTGTCTTAACATGGTTCAGGAGGGTGAAATATGGCCTAACACCCCAGCACAGTTCAACATTGTCTTCAAGCCAGAGGAGGCCAAACTGTACCAAGACACGATATATTGTGATGTCACAGGTCAGTGTCGAGCTGGAAAATACAGAACTCATTTAGGTTTTTCATAGCAAAGCACAGTATTTGTACCTTTTACGATGCAGTAACGATAAAACAATGTCTAATTCTTAGCCGTGCTAGTGGCAAGGTGTTAGGAGGGCAATGACATTCGGTCAGACCACCACTTTCATCCAGATCTCAACAATTTTTGGATGGTCTTAGATTACTACTGTTGGTTTTTAGTGAAATGTCTTGACATTTATTGGATTGATTGCTATAAAACATGGTACGGACATTCGTGCTTACCTCAGGATGAATTGTAATAACTTTATTCCTGACTGATTTCTGAACTTTTCATCTAGCACAAAGTCTAAATGAGTCCAGTAATGTGTTGTATAACCTGCAAGAGTGATGGCATTCCTAACCTGGCCTCAGCTGTACTTTGTATTTATTGCTAATTAGCCAATGGCAGCATTCTAACACGTTAAACTTGGGGAACATGGTTAAAATTTTCCCTGCTACACATCATCACGTCAGCATGGTCATTTTGAGCATGTTAGCATGTAATCAAAGGCAATGTTCATGACTGGGTCTGATGGGTGCATGGGCGGGAACTCAATACCAGGACTCCACTTCATGACACCTACTGCACAGACTCTGGCTCCAAATGATGACACCAGCGCAAGATGATATCCTGTATGCGGGATATTTTTGCTTCTTTTTTTACAGTGGGAGAAATTGTAAACACATCTTCCATCTTTATTTACGATCTATGGCCCAAACCCGATTGGCCCATAGTGTTACCCTACCTGCAGGGAACAAGCCGAGCTGTAATTTCTCAATTTTTCGCTTTTGCACCACTTTTAATCTGTGTACTGTCATGAATAATGTATGGGCCATCAACCCATCCCGACCTCCCACCTCTCATTAATGAGGAGAAATGTTATGCTATCTCTTTTTAATAGATGTGGTATATGACAGTTTAAGGCTGAGCTGAACAGTCGTTAGGAGAAGGCGCATGCCGGAACTCATGTTACAGATGTCTTTAAGTACACTGAAAATACTTTGGTTGACTTAAGCTTGTGATAAATGTTTTTACATTAAAAAGACACCGAGATTTTTATACAGTGGAAATTCAAGTTTTTAATCAAGAACTGTGTGGCTTCATGTAGGGCAAGCCTGATCTTTTTGGGCCCAATTATAGCTCTACAACCATATTTTTACGTTTTGGTTTCTGGCGAGACCCCAAAGCAGACACAAATGGAGGTGTATGAAAACAAAAGAATTTATTGCCGAAGGAAAAAAACAAACAAAAATGCAGGCAGTGGAAGCAGGGTGCTGGCTGGCTAGGAGGTTGTCCACCAGTGTAGAGAGTCGGATCTCACACATATTAGAACAAAACATGACATGCAACCCCATTTATGATATGTGTGGGCATAGGGAATTAAATAGTGAAATTAAACTATTCCACATTTTTCTGGGGACCCCCTTAAACTCCCTCAAGAACCCCTTGGGGTCCCTGGACCCCTGGTTGAAAATCAATACTGTAGTCCAATACACCTTAAAAGACATTTTGATACAACTGATTTGCCTTTTTGAAACAACTTAGACAACATTTTCAAGACCGTACCTCAGGGTTCGTCCATTTTATCTGTGGTCACAGTCTCAAATCAAATATGTGAAGGGAAGCAAGACATAGCTCTGACCTCACATAATCTTGGTACTCATTCACAGAACAGGTTGTTGCCTCACATTCCCTTAAAGGTAGGGTCTGGAGGATTTTCCAGTTGCTGTTTGTAAACACACATTCAAATTCGGCCCCTCCTATCAGGCTCAACTCTCCCGGGTGTACAGAGCCTGGAGATACGGAAGAAGGCTTCACAGAAGAGGTTCAGGCAAGGCTCGCGCTGGTGCACGCTCGGACACGCTCGGGCACGTCCGAGCTCACAAAAACATCAAAATACAGTTAAAGGGCAGGAGCTCTGCAAACAGAGTCACCACCACACATGAGTAGAAGCCCATAGGTAATGATTAAGCAGGATTTCATTTGTATATGTCTATATTTTGTTTTGTTTGAAAATCCTCCAGATCCTACCTTTAANCTTAAAGGTAGGGTCTGGAGGATTTTCCAGTTGCTGTTTGTAAACACACATTCAAATTCGGCCCCTCCTATCAGGCTCAACTCTCCCGGGTGTACAGAGCCCGGAGGTACGGAAGAAGGCTTCACAGAAGAGGTTCAGGCAAGGCTCGCGCTGGTGCACGCTCGGACAAGCTTGGGCACGGCGCCTGCGCTCTCTCATTGGCTGGGGAAATCTCCGCCCAGAAGCGGTCCGAGCTCACAAAAACATCAAAATACAGTTAAAGGGCAGGAGCTCTGCAAACAGAGTCACCACCACACATGAGTAGAAGCCCATAGGTAATGATTAAGCAGGATTTCATTTGTATATGTCTATATTTTGTTTTGTTTGAAAATCCTCCAGATCCTACCTTTAATCAGAACTGAACTAGGAAGAATGTCATTCTCTTCCAGTGCACCTTATACACGGAATAATCTGACATTAAACTTGGACACCCTTATGCCACCCTTATTTCAGATCTTGTGATGAGTGTAAATGCTTTGAACTATACATCTACATCATAACATGTTTATCATTCTATATTTCTACTTTTAGGGATCAGTTATTGCTATTGTTGTTTGTTGTTTTTACTGTATATGATTTTATATCTGTTATAATTATGGCATTAATTAATTAATTTACCTAACCTGTATTAATTAATGCAGGTTAGGGTAAAGGACAAACTAAATGTGCATTAAAGCTTACATTTACAGCCAATTTACAGCGTCACTTGACACAAAGTCGGCGGGTTTTCCAAAGGATAACTCTTTTCTTTTGTTTGTTCTTCAACACCTTGGAATTAATTGTTTTAACAACTTCAAGCAACTTCAAGCAGTCTGTACTCTCCTGCTGTTAATCAATAGCTTCTTCTTCCCTCAGTGGGTTGGTGCAGACAAAGGACAAGACATACAAGCCTGGGTAGCAAAACATGTCTGTCTGGTTATTGTCATAGAACAACAGCTTCCCTCTTTAAATGTTGACTTCTCCTTCAGTGTACGACGTCCTCAATGAAACGTGTTGAAGCACCACAAATGAGCCCCTAAATCTGCCTAAATGCTTTGACCACTGGATGACTTATTGCTACTTGAGCTCATTTTCATATTAGACATTGCAGTCATGAGGCCTCAATATATTCATCTCATCCCAGTGGTTGTAAAAGGTTGTTGGTAAATTTGCATGTGGCCATCACGTGTGTCTTCTGAGCCGGAGGCCAGATTTACATTAATTTCCATGTTTTCTGAGGCTGGTGACGCCCTGACCAGCCTAGGTCAATGGCAGCCAGACTGGACACTACCCTGATCCCTCACTTTGCAAGAAGCTCAGAAGCAAACTCAGCAAAACTGAAGGATAGAACTTATATGCCCTTTACGAAGTTAATTCTGTACTTTGAAGGTAGTCACCTTATTCCGTGCCTCAACACGCCTAAATGTTTTGTATAAGCTAAAATAAAAGCTGTAGTTATGGTAGTTTTTCAGAAAAAGTAACCATTTATATTGCCAATATGTGATCAGTTTACATATTTATGCCAACGTTATCAGAGCTGCTGGCTGTGTCAGATCAGCTGCTGGCATAATGTTACAAAAGCATGTTGAGTGTTTTTGCAGTGTTTTGGTAATAACTATCAATGTTTGCAAAAAATATCAACATTGAAAATTAATACAGATGATGATGATGAAAGCAGGCTAAGCTAATGCTGTTTAGGTGGCTCTAGCTGGGCTATGGTTCTTGTTTTGCTACAGGTGTACAGGTGAACTACAGTTAGCTGTATGGCAGAAGAAACAATAGCATATAACAATTCTCATTGAAACTTTCGATTTCTCTGGTGAAGATATCGGGATTCTGTATGCGACACGGAAAATTAGCGCCTGGTGATCAGGTTGTTAGCTTAATCTGTAGACAGTTAAGTTCATTAAGCAGTTGTGTTGACAGATTTTGCTTTTGGTTCCTCATAGCAGAGCCATCTACATGAGGGAACACTTTAAAGTAATGAAAAATGTCCTTATATGTGATTTCAGGCCATTTTCTTATGTTGTCCTCTCAGTCACTGGATGGCTGACGGATGTGGTACTGTAAAACAACCAATCGCTGCAGTGTTACTGCTGAATATTGCCATATTCATTCATTACCGGCAACTAGTGCAGCTAGCTGTAAACCGTAAAAATGAAAACAAGTATGTTAGAATCAAAAGTTTTTTAAAAAAAATGGGAGGGGCACCATGAAGTGACTACTGTGCAGGAATGTTGTTTAGTTTTTGTAAACAATATCGCCAACAAAAGTGAAAATGAAAACCAACTCCAGATTCATTAGCATGTACAATATTTGCATTTTTTTCATAGCTATGTCAGCAATTTTGTAGCTTCCTCTTGGATGCGTGCTGCTTACGATCTAGCACCTGGTTGCAATTTTTTTTTTTAGTAAGTCCTGATCTCACCTGTGAGTTGTGCCCAGGAACATCCCGAATACAGCAAAATAATAAAGAAATACATGCAGAAGGCAGAGTTTCTGCAGATAAATACACCACCACAGACCTATAGTGGGTTATAAGTGATGACTGATAGGGACCACTTCTGTATGAGTCTACACATTTTTTAAGAAACTCTAAAAAAGTAAACTAAAGTATATCTCTTACCTGGAAATATTAAAGTAGCCTTTCCAATTCAACTGCATTAAATCAGTGTCTGATATATATAGTGTTTGAGAGACATTTTTTACTCATATTTTTAACTGCCTTTAACTTTGTTGTCTTGCCTTTCCCTACGTTTGTCTGTGTCTTTACGTAGGCCGTGAATCTCGGTTGCCCCTCACAGTGAAGGGTGAGGGCCTGGGACCTAATCTCCAGCTCAGCTATGACCTGATGGACATGAAAAATGTGTTCATTGGTGACAGAGACTGTTATGAAGTAAGAAAGATTACGCCTGTTAACTGTGAATCTAAATGTAGTAAGAGCTTGTGTATGGCATATCCTTCCTAACTTTTTATAGGAAGTCTTTTAATCTAGTTGTTAAACTGTTAAAATATTGTGCTCCACCCAGTCAGCCAAGATGCTCATTGAATTACCATGTTCTATACATATTGACAAAACTGAAGTATGTATCATACAGTGTTTGCCAATATGTAATGTATGTAATGTAATGTATCTTTAGCAGTGACTGAATGGACGAGTTTTAAGTATCAACAATGTTCTGAAGTCACATTTGGTGTTAACATCATCCTTGATGTGTGTCCTTTCTTAAAAATAAGACTAAACTTTCAGTCTAAACTAACTAAACAGATAAAATCTTCAACATAAAAACAACTTCTATAATTCTCTCTTTTTAGTACTGTAATAAAGTCATGTTTTCTCCAAAATAAAAGCAGGCTCCCAGAGCACTATTTGCAATGATATTTTTCCATTAAAGCTGAACTGAAGTGGATAACATCAGAAAACATAAATGCAGCACATGCATATTACTTGTTTACTGACGGTGGGGCTCATACAAGAAAAAACATGACTTGAGTGATAGGTCAATGGATCTGTCTTTTTGTCCAGCTACAGGTGTACAACAGAGGACTGATTGATGCCCCTTTCAGGCTGTCAAGCCCTGACACCACTTTCGGCCGCTGTTTCTCCTTCAGTCCTGAGGAAGGTGTTGTTCCCTCTGGGGCCTGCCAGATTGTGGAAGTCACCTTCCACAGTCGCATCTTGGGAACTTTCTCTGAGGACTTGCTGCTAGCTGTCACTGGACAGCCTCAACCACTTACCGTGACCTTTAGGTGAAGTTAGCAAGTGTAGTAACTCAGATTGTAACAGAACATTCAGATTTATCCCTAAGAAACATTATAAAAACTTGGACTTAAAAGTGGTGGCAGCATTACTCATCAAAATACCAGGGTGTCTTTCTCATGGCTCCTGTTTTTTGGCCTTCTTTTTCCAGGGGGTGTGTCATTGGTCCCACATTCCACTTCAATGTTTCAGAGCTCAATTTTGGAGATGTAGCCTTCGGTGAGTAATAACATTTATCTTAGGTTCATTCATTTTTAAATTGCTACAGATATATAATGCCTCAGAGCATCACAACATTCACACACACAAAAAAACATTTCCTCCACTTCATTCTCCTCTCTGTGCAGGTTTCCCACTAACAATGATTTGTACCCTCTTCAATACCTCTTTGGTGCCTATGACCTTTGCCCTGCGTGTCCTGGGAGATGGGCTGGGGTCTCCTAGTGTTACTAGTGCCCAACAGGCATCGGAGATGTCCAGGAATAATTGGGAAGGCAGTGTTGCTAGAGACTTTCATGCTCGGCCTGTGGAGTTCACTGTCACACCCACTGCAAGCTCTGTGCGTGCCTTGTCAGATGTCACCATTAAGGTAGAGTAAATTAACTAATGAATGGGGAACCTATTTAAATTAATTTTGAAATAAGTTTTGCTATTGTAGCAGCATATTACAGGTTTTTGTAAAGTTGTATGCCCCAGCTGCACCAGGCAGTATGTATCTGTAAAAACATGACCATATTTTTAGTCTAAATCATGAAGTAAAGCTGCAGAAGAGATGCAAGCAATGCATCCCCCCAATCACTTACTTTACCTATATTATATTTAAAAAATATACTGTTGTAGCAAAACGTGCCTCCAGAATAAAGGTGTAAACTTTCTCTTTAGGAAAAATCTGCCAATCAGCAATCTCGGAACCCACTGGCAATAGCCTGTATTTCTGGGGTTATGGTGTAGCCAGCAGGTATCCAGACCCAGACGTCCTTTTCTGTGTTCCAGTCATTTATAATCTCTATAAGCTTATGTCTAAATATATATGCTGATAAAAAGATAAAAAATACCCCAAAAAAGACAATAAAAAGCCAAAATGCTGTCAGATTATATTTCAGCCAATGCGTTTCACCTCTCCACGTGGACTGTTTACCTGCCACTCAACTGTGATTGGTCAGTACTACTCAGACTACAAATGGACCGCAAACGGAAACCAGAACACTTCGAGTACCAACTAGAGTACCAGTATCAACGTAACATTGATATTGGCTGAGATACACCTTGTTGACTGCCATCAGCCTGTCTGCAAATTAACAGATGGCAGTGGCCAATATTTTTCTGTTTTGTCTTGTCAAGTTTGAGCAAGCTAAAAAGCAGGGCTCCAGACTAACAGCTACAATAGTGAGCAGGTAAAAGAGGAACACAATGACTTTTTGGCACATAGGCTCTGTGATCTCACTGTTGTGTGACGAGATGGCGAGTTGCAGCCAGTGTCCCCTCGTCCTGGGGACAATAGAAAACATGCTTTGGATGAACAGAAATCTTCCCCAGATTGCCTTTGAGATAAAAGGATGCAGTAAACTCATTGAAGCGTCAGAGGACGCACTGTATAGTTTCTCTGATAATGCTACACTGTGAACGAATCTGTGTTAAAATTAGCAGGAGGAGAGCGAATTAACGTTAGCTGTTAGCAGCTGGTGGCCACAACTAACTGCTCACAGAGGTTGTGTTGAGTTATATTATGATGCGTTCAGTCCTGTTTAGTAAAAATGGGTATTGGGCAAAGGTAAATTATAACTGTCTCATTAGGTCTTCAAAGTAATATTTTAAAAGGAGTTTTTGGTGAGAGACTTGGATAAATGCAGCTGTTTGAAGGAGAGAATTGTTGATGGTTTCACATAAAAATAAAATTGATATTAGAGAGGGAATTATGATATATTATACTGAGTAAAAAGGCTTTTAAAGCTGTTTTTCTTTAGATTTTTATCATGTGAAAGGTTATGTTTAAGGTTGTATCACAAATTTGTGTAACTGAATTTGTGCTTATTCAAAGGTAGTGTAATGAAGGACTGAATGACTTTAAAACAGTTCAGTTATTTTTTTTAAGTAAAGGTGAATAAATAACAAAAAAATAAATAAATAAATAAACAGCAATATTAAAACATTGGTATTGATACTGGCTCCAAATTTCAAAATGGGTGAACTCCTTATATGCAGATATCTGTTTATAGAGCTTAGGTAGGCATATTCAGCATATTCATACCTATAGCTGACTGAGTTCAGTAGATCTAAAGGAACAGTCTGACATTTTGGAAAATGTGTTTTTTACTTTCTTGCAGAGAGTTAGATGAGAACTTTGATGCCACTCGCATGCATCTGTGTTATCTATTTAGCCAGATCTAGGAGATGAATACCTAAGTTCAGCTTAAAAACTCTAAATAGGCCAAAGTGGCTAGTCTGGCTCTGCGTGCAGCGACTTTGCAAAGTCTTGTTTGAATGAGGTTGCAGGGAAACAGCCAAGAAATAGTATTTTTTAAAACCCTTTTTTAACCCTTCATAAAACCACAACTTTTTTTCATGGATAAAACAAATGAGATTTAACATGGTAATTATTGAGCTTTTGGGGTGCTGGTGGCAGGATGTTGTTATGTTGGACAGAGCCAGACTCACTGTCTCCCCATTTGCAGTTTCTATGCTAAGCTTAGCTACCAGTCTCCAATAGACATCAAAGTGGTACTGATCGTCAAAAAAATTTCAACCTATTCCTTTCATAGGTGCTCTTTGGATTGCAATTTCTACTTACTTGTTTTTCAGAATGGCATACTGCTCGTCATTAAACTGACTTCATTGAAAGAACTAGAGAGGATTAAGTTTTCCTGTGATGCATTAATCAAAATTCTATGGCAACAATATAAAACCTAAACTGAAACTGTGTTTATTTGTTGATGTGAGTACCGTCACTGTTTGTTTTGAACCTTTTGTGATCTCATACTGTATTTGTGTATTAAATACCTACAGGTGACGCTGTGCTCCAACACAGTCAAGAGATACAGGCTGGCGCTGGTGGTGGATGTTGAGGGTGTTGGGAAGGAGATCAGGACTCTGCCTATCAATGCCAGGTCAGACACATTTACTGACATGAACACACACATTCTTTGATGTACACATACTCAAATATACATCAGTTTAAATTAGTTGTGTGGTGTCTTGCAAGTTGCAGCAAAAATACTTCAATATTATTATTAGTTTGACTTTGCATATTTAGGCCATAAACAGATTATTGGCTCAGTTGTCCTGTATTTTTTCTCTTTTGCTGTAACACTGTTTGATCTTTTCCATTTTAAAAAGATACTTCATAAAAAATTAATGGATGAAAATGAATCACCGCCCCGCTGTCCTAGTAAGATGGAATATCATCTCATCCTCTAAAATGAGTGTTAATGTGTCACAACTGTGTCACAAGATGCCATAAAACAGCAGAGGTTCATCTCTCTTTTTACAAACTCTCCTACTACTCTTTCTCTGGAAGTAAATTGCCTTTTTTTCTTGGCAGTATCCTCTGCTGTGCTTCTAGCTGTCGCTGAAGCTTTGACAAGCTGTGAATGTGCTCCATTGAACTTCCATACAGGTGTCGACAAATCAGTGGAGTGTGTGTTAAATATTCAGAGCCTAATTTGCATAATAATACATTGGAATGTCACCTGCGCCATCACTCAGAGTAGGGCAATTGTAATCTGACTTCCTCATGGCAATCACCGTCATTGTAAATTTATGAATCAGCTCTAATTAATAGAGCACAGTTTTGGCATGAAGTAATGCAATAGCTGTTGTAATTCATAAATAAGTCTCAGATCTTTTCCTTTCTTCTCCTCTCTCTATCTATTCCTCTTTGCCAATAGGTGTGTTGTTCCTGATATTGTGGTGGAGACTCCTGTGTTGGACTTTCAGAGGTGTTTCCTCAATCACCCGTATGAACAGAAAGTGCGGCTGACCAACATCAGCACTCTGCCTGCCTGCTATGGCATGCTTGACCAGGTTAAGGAGATCACTGCAGTAAATGATTTTTTATTGTGTTTATATAGTATGTTGCGGGGTTGTGAAATGAACAAGCGTAAAAGCTATCAAGGCTGACACATGCGTATTAAAGAAAATGGCTCAATTCCAGCATAAAACAGAAAATTTATGTTGTAGAGGTGGGCAACATGAAAACAACATTTTGAATACACTTACTTTCTGAGTTAGATGTGTTGGGAATCAACATATATTTACCTCACACGGTGGCACCAAATATGTTGGGGTCAACACACTAGGCTTCACACGGAGGTATCAAATATGTTGGGGTTAAATTGGCTATCGGAAATAATTAAAGGGGCAATAAGTGAAATCGTTTCACCGCTAGGTTCGCTGTTGTGCACTGCCTGTAGAGCAAAACAAAGTGTGTCATGAGCCACTTCTCCCTCTACCTCTGCTCTCCAACACGTGGGGACCCCGCCCCCCCCCACACCACGTCTGTGCCGGCGAGACGAGTACCGCAGCACGGACTATCACATCCAGACAGTCCCGGTGTTTCTTCCGCAGGCTCCGCTTCACTCAGCTGCCCGATATACCTGCTGCTTCTTCCCACATTAACCTGAGTAACAAACCAGGGTTCAGTGCTCCGGTTGGATCCAAACGGAGAGCCGCTAGCTGGGAAGCTAGCGGAGGCTAACTGGTTGTGTTTCCCTCCGGTCATGCTGCGGCTAACGCTCCGCTAGCCGCTCCCAGCTACCTCCTGTTTGTTATTCAGGTTAAAGTGGGAAGAAGCAGCGGGTCTGTCAGGCAGCTGAGTGAAGTGGAGCCTGAGGAGGAAGCACTGGTTAGCCCCCACTTTAATTGCAGGCAGATTCACTCGCCACAGGGGCGAGGAAATAAAACCTAAACAGCCAGCTTAGTTTAGCAGTTAGCAATGTCTTTCACTCACTCTCGGTCTCTGCTGTGTTTAGCTATTTCCCTGCTTTCCTGTTAGCGTCAGCACTACTCGGCTACCACGCTAACGCTCCAACTCCACCTGAGCCGGGAGCCAGGCTCACGGTCTCACAGAGAAGAGTTGGAACGTTAGCATGGCAGCCCATTAGTGCTAACGTCCCCACGCTTCTCTGCCAGGCTCAGTGAGTCGGAGCTGAGAAGCGTAGGGACGTTAGCATTAGCAGTAGTCGGCTACCATGCTAATGTTCCAGGAGCCTGCTTCTCGGCTCCGGCGAGCTCTAGCGTGGAGCCTGGCGGGCTCACGGAGAAGAGAGGAATGTTAGCGTTAGCCCCCAGAGTTAGCACTAGAGCTACTACGGCTACTGGAGTAGCTTGCAGCTATGGAGCGCTTCTACCAGATCTTCTAGTCACTGAGGCTCGCCTCCATTTCACATGAATGTACATGAACGCGCAGCCGGACTGGCTTGTAAACAATAGGCTGGAGATCAACACAGAGAGAGGGTGTGTGAGGTCACGCTATATTCCAGATGAAATTACACCTCTAGTTCTTCATATAGCAATTTTTTAATTCCTTCAATCTAGAAATGATGAATTTCGCTTTTTGCTCCTTTAATAATTATTAATAATTAGTAATTATGTTAAATAATGTGACTTAATTAACATTAAATCACCTCGTGGGGCACCATTCCCGTAAAGGGAAAAATGATAGCCAGTTAAAGATATCAGTCTCATAAAATAGGCTAAACTATTAATTTGGAGTTTGATTAATAATTAAATTAATGACAACAACCAAAATTAACAGTAACACCTGAAGGATTTCGGAGTTCTTGACGCAGCAGAGGTTGACTATTCATTCACCCTTGTGCAACATTAAACAGACAGCAGGCATGATTCCAAAGAATTATATTTATTCACAAATAAGTGGCTGACAACAGAGAACTACCAAAATGGCCGAATCAAGGCTGACTCCAGGGGGAGGTGTTTGTCTGACCGTGTGGTCAGGACAAAGACAAAGGAAAAGAAGCGGGAACTTTGAAATGCCTGTTTGGATGTAGCTCTGTTGAAAGCCTATTTGTTAATGAGTCTATGTCAATGTGACGTGTGTTGCAAACGGTCTGGATTAGTGCAGAGATTGTTTAGTTGCATGCAAGAATCTGTTTGTGAACAGTATTAGCAAACTAAACACTTAGCTGTGGTGAAGCCAACTAATCAATGACCTAACTGCAATCTATCACAACAATAACTCAGTAAACAGCATCAAATCACATACAACAAGTCAAACAGTCTTGCTTAGCCTGTAAAGCTGTGATAAGCTATGCCCAGTTGTTACATTACCGATCCTTGAATGGATGGAGGAAAGAGTCACTTGGTGGTGCTGCTTTGTTAGCCAGCAGAAGAAGGCTGGGAAGGTGTGGTTTCAGCTGCAGTCTTTGTGGTGTCCTTTGTTCCAAAGGTTCTGATCCGAGGAAGCTGGTCGCTCGGGATCCTTGCGGAGTTAGACGCTGGGTGCTAACTCACTTAGTTCCTTGTTGCTGGAAAGCTTGTTTGCAAACCTTGTGTTTGCCAGAGAGTCTGTGATCAGTTGCCCTCCCTTTAGTGGTTTGGGCTATGGAGCAGGGGTTCGGGCCTCTGCTGTCCAGGCCCAAACGGGAAGAGGTGTTAGCTGCTGAAGCAGCTGGAGTAAAGAGCACTGCTCCACGGTTGGAGCAGAGAGGAAGGAATCTGTTGGAAGGGAGCACAAATCTACAGATGCCGGTGACATTAGAGTCACATGTCACTGTAAAGGTCCAATCACGTTTTGGGACTTGAGTCTCACTGAGGTGTGAGGTGAGATCTCCTGTGGAGATGGGTGTCGCATAGCCCTCTTTGTTTGAAGACAAAGAGCATGCAGAGGAAAAAGCCTTGAAATCAGTGATGATTTTACCAAATGATAAATCATCTGTGGTCCTGTGAATCCCAACAGATGAAAAGACTGATCCCGCTCATCTCCTATCTCCCATCTCCTCCATACTAATGTACATGAAAGTGGTACGTGAGAGTGGGATCAATCCTCTCCTCTAACTCCTCACAAGAAAGCCAATAAACCTGTTTTCCAAAATGCTATACTATTGATTGACTAAATACAATTAAATGTCATTATCACTGAATATTCTCAGGACTTTCTAATCAACTTTAAGATGCAACAGAGATAAGATTATACTGAGAGTCACAATAATAAGGTCCTGACTGAGAAATATGTTTTGTAACTTCTCTGCATTAAAATGTCGAAAACAACCAGGCCAATGTTATATATTTTGTTGAGTTGTGTACTCACAGTATCCCAAATGTTTCCAACAATGTTTAAACCAAGAGAAATCCATAATTTTAATCAGGGACATGGTCTGTGTTATTTGGTCTTTGTTGCCTGTCAGTGGTGTCACAACTTTTTCTTTCAAAGATAAACTTTTGTGATCTTGGTTGTTTTTTACTATGTTTTAAACAGATGAAGGATTTTAGTCATTGGACATCTGGATCAGGAGTTATCAGAGAAGCAAGCTGAGCAAACATTAGCAGCAGTTTGGCTCCAGCCACTGTTGTGCCAACTAACATCTGAGAAACACAGTTTTTTAATGTTAAACTGCTTTATTCATTTTCACCAGTTTAAAATGCTGGGTGTGTTTGTTTTGGAGAGGAAGCGACCTCTGCGAATAATTTGGCTCCAGCTCAAAACCTGAATGTCTGAATCTTAATTTATCATGGAAAAACAGGTGAGCACATACTAGCAGGAGCTGGACGAGGAGCCCCTCCGCGACAAGCCCAACAGGGTCAGGGAAACACTGATTTGTAACATGAAACTGGTTCATTCAGTGTTTCTCCCAGTTTTAATGACTAGGGGCCTCATTTATAAAGCTTGCTTATGCACAAAATGGGGCTTGAAAGTGGCGTACGCCACTTACCACGCAAAGGTTGTGACTTATAAAAATAAAATTGCTGGGAGACTGTGTGCACCTGTAAGCAAACTCTGAGTCATGCGTGCGCACATTTTGGAAGACACTGGGAAGTGGCGACGCAGACGGCGAGATGAAGTGGAGTCAGATTTTTATTGATGTCTCACACAAATTTAATGTCACGCTATATCCACCTTAGATCCACGTTATCATTGAAATTAAATCCAGCAGCCTTATTTTGCGCTTGGAGTGAGTGATAATTGTTTCATAAAAACGTTGTAAAATCCAACTCAAATCCTGAATTGAAATTCTTTCTAAATACGTAATTAATCCACACTGCCTCTAACGTCTCATTGTCCACTCTGTGAGCGCAGGAGGGGGAGAGGATGGCGCGACTGCATGGAATATATTTATGTATTTAGCTAAATATTTCCAGTGCATTTATCATGTCTCGAAATACAGCCATTAAGCACAACCGTTACACTCATTTCACTAGCCCTACTTAGACGTGTTGTTCATGACAAAACCGGCATGAAGAAACGTGTTTGCCTATTACACTTTCATCTTTGAATTGTATTTCAAATTACACGTTGTATTTTGGGACAGGGGTACCACTGGTTCATGCTGTAATTCAGGCCGGGTGTCTGATCAGACTAATTGCCATAAACATATAAATACTGCGGTGACCCTCGTGCATAATTGTGCAAGATGGCACTGGCACATACTCCTTTTTGCCTCCACCTTTAATAAATGTGATTCTTTATGTCGCACATCAATGTCAAACATCCTCAAATTTAAAAGCAACACATTAACTACATGTTGGTAAAGGAGTAGAAATATTTGGTCTACCTTTAGATCAGACCACTTTTTTTTTTTTTTTTTTGTTCTGTCAATGTCCGTGAAGTCCCACAGACACAGCTGACAGCATCAGCAGCGTTGATGTGTTGCCACTTTTTTTCGTTTTCTTTTATTAGTGATCCCGCTGCTTTAGCCACCAAATAAAATCTTTCTTCAGTCCTCCACCTCCCGTTAAAGGGTCTCTAGCTCAGTCTCATGAGCTAGAGACCCTTTTTGGTTTGTTTCTCACCCGTTGCCATGACTCACACAATGAGAGAACACTCGCATGCCGGCTTATTTATATGCAGATCGCATTCATGAGGTGATTTGCATGACCATTTATGGTTGAACTAGGGTGTGTAGAGGGCGGAATATGAGGCGGATCTGGGTGCGCACAACTCTAGGAGGTCTGTGATTTATAAAGAGAACATTGCGTGCAAGTGTGCGTGCGCACGGTTTTATAAATCAGATTTTTTTTTGGCGCACGCCATTTTCAGCCTTTGGGCGCACGTCAACTTTTAGTATCAATCCTAAGCACTCTTTTATAAATGAGGCCCCTGGTATGTTTGTTTTGGAGAGGAAGAGACCTCTGTGGATAATTGGGTTTCCAGTAAAAACCTCCTGAACAAGAAACACTGAAGGAAATCTAACCGGGAGTAAACTGACTGCAATGATGGCATTGCTCCGTCTTTTATTAATGTTTTCATTGAGAACCCGAGCGACAAAAATATATGTTTAATAGCTGCTTGAAACTGCAAAATACTGGTGCAAATGGCTAACATTTAAATCAATGTCTGTCAACCGCCCACTTGTTCTGTGACAAGGGGAGGGAAAATACGGTACTTCTAAGACAATTTATCCTTTTGTTGTGAATCTATATGTACAGTAGATGTTCAAAAAAAATCTTATTCACTTTTTTTTTTTTTTTTTCCTTCAGAAAAACGAGGAGAGTCCTTCACTACTTTTTGGCAGTCCCACACCCAGAGGAGTGATTCTTCCTCACAGTTCAGAGGAGCTTCCTGTGGTTCTGCTGGCTAAGGGTGTTGGAAGGCAGCAGCACACTCTATGCATTGCTGTGTTTGGCAGCGTACAGCCACCCCTGGTCAGTGGATGTCTGTGTGTGTGCTTCTTAGTGTGAACTCTGAATATCTGTGATGCTGCTGGTTGTTAATGTAGGAGTAATTGTGATGTTTTTGTCTCAATTCAGGAGTAGTGCTTTTTTTACTCATCAAATTGTTCTTTGATCCACCTCTGTTTGGTTCTGCTCTAGGAGGTGGGCTTGTCATGTATTGGGCAGGGACCAGTGGTTCATGTTCAGAGCCCTCAGCTGGACTTTGGCACAATCCCGGTTCTGACGGACATAACTAGGTCCCTGCAGCTGTCAAACCAGTCACCTATTCCAGCCTACTTTACTGCGCGCATGGTACAAACACACCAACACAGACACACCTCTGAGCATACATATTAGCATTATTAGGCAGACATGCTCTTGCTAAAAATAGAATAAAACACTTATCACATGCATTAACATTAAGATGATCAAGGTAACTTTGCATGCACTCAGATGTAGCGGTAGGATGTTAGAGTCTCGGAAAACACAGAATTAAATGGTTTTAGTTGTGGATTAATGCATTCCCATAGAGCCATTCAGTGGCTAGATTTCTTGTCCAAACCCTCTGTCTGTCTCCCCTGCTCTTGTGACTAATTAATTTCCAGTCTGATTTGATAAGTAATTAATGAGGTAGTGGGTTCAATGCTTTGTTAGCTTTAGAAATAATTAGTTGCCAGTTCAATATCTGATTAAGTGATTTTCCTTAGAGTGCATTCCCTTTATGAGCCGGTCAGATGTTGACTTTTTGTCAATTCAGGGTGACGTGAATGAAATTGGTTTATTTGATGTGGGAAGCTGATGTAACGATGCTAAACTTGGACTGTCTTAATGTTTCTGCTTTTGTAGCTTTTTATGCTTGAAATAGTAATTTTAATCTACAATATAACACAATACATTAAAATACAATGTACACTGTTTAATCGACATTTGAACTCTTCAACTAATGGTTCATCTGTTTGCACCTCCTACTCTGCAAATGACACTGTTTTCACTCAGCTTCAGTGCGCACTCATTTTTTTGGGAATATGTTTTCAGCCTAATTTAGCACAGTCCTTCCATCCTTCCACACAGCAAAACAATGTACGGTCATGCAACACTTTGTCCACCTTAATGTAAAATGGACAAGTTATAGAGCGTTAGTGTGCTGTCATCAAAACAAACAAGATGTGTCCTGCAATGACAACATAGTCCTTTTCAGTGAAGCAACAGTATGCATTAGCGTTTACACTATAAAAAAAATATGTGGTCAAATGTGTCCCAGACCATCTAGGCAAGTGGTTTGAGTGATCGGATCACAATGAGTCTTGTTGGTTGTTAACACTTTTATTTAGCACTGCTATCAGGTGTAAACAGAGTCTTAGGCTATGTTCACAAGCAAATGTGGCCCAAACCCAGTTTTTTGCACTCATGTGAGGCGTGGACACAGAAATTCAATTTTTTTCTGATCATGTCTGGATGCCACTTTCATACATCCATGGTTTTTCCACATCATAATTCACTGCTCAGGCGCACATGGTAAATGGGCCTGCATTTGTATAGTGTGTTTCTTGTCACCCGACCACTCAGAGCGCTTTTTACACTGCGAGTCACACTATGTACACTCCATACAGTGCAGAGCGGTCCATTGAAACAACAGAAGGCTGCCATAACCGTACCGCTGCTGTGATAGGCAGCCCCAGTCACCAGCCAATAGACTGACTGCAAGATGCTTTCTGACAAGTACAGTTTGCCTACATGCCATAACAGGGATACTTAAATGTAGCCCTTGACATTCTAAGGTTTGCAGGAACTTCCCCTCCATGAAACCCTCCAAATTTCGGCTCCTCTACTTCTGACTCCTCACCCAGCTGTGCCCACACCTCTCTCTCCACAGAACTACCAGCAGTAGCCGCCAGTAGAGCTGTTGGACCGACAGACCTTGATATTAAAAGCTTGTGTGGCTTATTATTACTAGCCATGAGCCAGAATGATGTCTTCAAACATTCCTACTATAGTGATCATTAGGAAGATAAAGCTTGCAGTGGTATGTCATTAATTTTTTCACTGAATGCCTGTTTCGCAAATGTGCCATTTTTACTGTTGTGACGTGTTTCAGGGAGGAGATCAATCTGCACTGATGTCAGTCATGGATAACTTCAAATATGAATGTGAGCAGTCCAGGCAGAAAGATCAAATCTGGGGAAATTATTCAAGTGAGCATTAAGCTCTGTAATATAAACATAGCCATAAAGACTCTTAAGATTGAATAATAATGTTCCACTTATTTGTCTTTGTTGTGCTTACTCAGTGTAAATGAAACTTAACTGTGACCTACGATGTACAGTCCAGCATATCAGTGTTTCACATAGCTTCTGAAAGCCCTTTTCTCGCTGTGCATCTTTTTATCACGGAGAATCCACTGGGAACAAACTTGTGACTGGAGCTATGACTCAATACGTCCCAAGCTGGCATTGACAAGACCATGCACGTGCCCTTAAACAAACACACACATAGGCAAGCCCAGTGTAACTGCAGTTGCATGACCCCGTCCTCTCCTCTGAGGCAGTATTGAGGGAAGGAGTTTCCCCCCGCGCCCTCAAGCATCAATCGATGCAGATTCTCCTTGAATTACATTACATCTCGCTCAATAGGCTGGCAGAGAGCCACACAAATAGACCTGATGACTTAAGATTGCGGGGATATTGTGGAAGGTATCCACACGCGCTTGTCGTCTAAGTGACCATCTGTTAGAAAGTAACCACGACTCCATCCCTAATCCAACCTCGGGCTTATTGATTATTGTATACAGTGTCAAGGATTGTAGACAGCCAGAGTGTGTAATGTGAAGAGTAGTGTCAGCATAGCACACCAAACACTTAACCTCACATGCAGATTTTTTCTGTAATCTGTTTTTCTTTTCTATTGTCAGAATATCAACAGATACAGAGCTAGAAATAGAAACTTCATGACAACACATCTACATGACTACATCTACATTTATTGGTTGGAAAATGTCAATATTTTAGTCCCGTTTTTGGCTGGAAACCAGAAACATGAGCCCTGTGAGATTCACATTACAATATATTGATCATGTTTTGCTGTATAATTTTTGACAGGGGCACTGGCTACACTAGTCGCTTCAACATCAATGCAGGATTTCTGCAGATTGGTGTACTGTTGACTGTTTTACAGCATACAGCACCGATTTGGATTCAAAGCCCTTCTGACTTGTGCCGCATTTGAAAGCAATCAATGCTAATCAAGCTGTGGGATGCAGGAGGTTTTGATGTGATTATTGAGATTCTAGTCATTTTGCTCCGCTCTTTGGGGAGTCAACCCCCTGCTCTTTCTCCTCTTCTGACTCTACCCACCCCTTTGCTGTGATCACCCTTGCATCGACCCACACCAACTTCACTTTCACCGGCTCCTTTGTTTGATCATACAAACACTGAGAAAGTGATCTATGACTCCTAAAGTCACTCGCTGATCAAGTGTTGCCTGCTTGTGCGGCAACTTTCCTCAAATGCCTCTTTTTCTGCAGGACGTCCCTCTCAGACTAAATCATCATATTTCATTTGCCCAATATTATTTTTAGTACAGTCTCTGCTTTAGTAAGGTAACCCGAATGTCAATTGCAGTATTTAAGCAAAGACGTTCTCCTCCATTGATAAACTATCTACCGTGATGTCCTATCGGCATTGAAAGTGGGCAAGCTTCACTGCATCTGTAGGAAGCTCATTCTCAAAATCCCAATTAAAGTTTAGGTTCCAGCCATTCATCAACAGAGTTGCTGTATCGAGCACTGATTGTGATTCCAACCATTGCTTGGTCAGATATATACAGTACAGTGAGCACAGTGAAGGGCTTTGTTGATGGACTGGAGACGAACATTAGATTTACATCTTTTTCTCATTACATTGAACTTGATTCCAATAAATGCAATCCAACAATCCACAGAGCTGGGAAATAGAGTAAATACTGAGTTTGTCTTGCAGCAGTCCCATTTTATAGTCACATCAAAGAGAGTGTAGATGCGAGACAAATAACATTTTGAAACAATCCATGTGTCAGGTTTTTGTATATTTTAAAACAGATTTTAACATGGGATACATTCATCTTAACTCCTTCTATACAACTATAAATCTATATATCGTTCTCTACCATTATCATAATCTTACACTCATAGAAATAAAGGTGCTAGCTAGAACCATACAGGATTCTTTGGCTGTACCCATAGAAGAAACCCTTTTTTGTTTACGGTAGAACTTTTTACAAAGGTTCCACCTGGAACCCTACCAGAGGTTTATTGTATGGCATGAAATGATGGTAAATATATCAATTGTGGTAATGTGGTAAAGATTTAAATATTTGATGGTGCAGAGAACATCTATGCTTTAACACTCAGTGAACTCTTAATGAAAAGGGTTTTTAATGGAACCCTTACTCTTACAGTGAACCTTTTAGGAAACCTTTCTTCAAAAAGTTCTCCAGAAGCAAATGGTTCTGGGTAGAACCTCACCCCCTCAGGAAGCAAGAACCCTTTTGGAAGTCTTATTTCTAACAGTTAAGTAGGGAGGTATTTCATCTTACTTATGTCAAGCAGGGAGCCACTTCTCTACTTATACATCTAGGATCTCATACTACAACGAAATATTGATGTGATTATGCAGCTATATGATATACACATCTATCTTTCCTGGTCCATCCATAGCATAGGCCTCAATGGCGTGTGCAGTGCAGTTAGAGGAAAGTGCCCCCACAAGGGAGATATTTTCATGCATCACATTTCAGTCATGAAACTAGCTTCTGTAACTGTTCCCATGCTACTCCAGAGGTACAAAGGCAAGCATCCTGTCATGGCAAACACATCAGCTCATTGGGTTCAGACTGTAAAAGAACTCTGATTGTATTTCTGTTTCCTCAGAGCCATGGAAGGTCCTTTGGGCGAGTTGAGCCCAGTGAGGGGGAGGTGCCACCTGAGAGCCAGCTTGAGCTAAGAGTTGTGGCACATCTGAAGGACACGCTTCACTTCCAGGCCAGGCTGGATATATCCATTCTGGATGGTCAAATGCACTCTGTCCCTCTGTCAGCCACAGGCACTGGCACCATGATTGTCAGCGACAGGCCTTTTGCTCCCAGCCTTGATCTAGGCACATATTTCAGGTAGAATGAAAGAGATCACACTTATGGGTCAAATTTTGACTTCAGAATAATGATGTGGTGATTCAGAACTGTAGTACTGACTGTATGCCTTGCCTCCTTGCTGTCCTCTGTATGTCCTGTAAGCCATGGGTCATGCCAGTACCACTTCAAGCTGACCAACCATGGCCAGCAAATGCAACGGATATACTGGCGGACTGATGGCATCCTGCCCTCTACAAAAATTCGAAAGAGGGGAAACTTATCTGGCTGGACCGTCCTGCCCCCCATCTCTGCTCCTGGAAAGCGGGACATTCTGGGCCATGGATCTTTGCTCCCCTCTAGCAGAGAGAAGCCGGTGTTTAGTCTCAAACCATCTCGTGTTGAGCTTTCCCCAGGCTGCTCTGTTGACATGGTGCTGACGGGATCTTCAGATTCTCCCAAGGTGAGAAAGTTTGCATGCAAGCCATAAACTGAATAAACTCAAGTTCTGAATTTTGCAAGCAAAGCCAGTGTGAGTCCATTAGATACACATTACAGTACACGTACAGTTCATATGTTCTTGTCTTCTTAGGTTGTACGGGAGCGGCTGGTGTGCCATGGCATTGTGGGTCGCCAGGGTTGTAGTGAGCTTATCATGTCTGTAGATGTTACATGTCGCTTTGTGGCTCCTATGCTCAGCATTTCCTCCAAGCACCTGAAATTCTACATAGAAAAGGTTGGTCAAAAGGCTATATATATTTTTGTATTTAGTTCTGTAATGTATCTTGCAGAAACTTGTCCACACAATGTTTTCTAGTTGTTACAGGCATGTCGTAAGTCAGATGCCTTTTGGATATGATGTTGCAGGGATGTAAATAATTTAAAGGAATGGCTGAGAATTTTGGCATCTGTAATCTTTAGTGATGGCTGTTAAATTTTATCAGAGATCAGCATGTACAAAAGAAACAAGGAGCTTTTCATTTAAGATTCCTATCCCTCAAACATGTCTTTATATGGTTGAATTTATTTTGTATATGTCTTACAGGTCCCAGGACAGTGTCTAATGCCCCTGTATGAGAAGCTGATCTTGGAAAACGTGTCATCTCTGTCTCTGTCGGTGGAGCTCTCTCTTGTAGAGCCATTCTCTCTGTGTGAGGCCCAGGGAGCCCATAGCTCAGCCACAACAAAGGTCCACAACTCTCCCTTTTAGTTAGCTCTTCATTGTTATTTTTCTATTTTTATTTCTTCTTTATTTTATTTTAAGTTCCATAAGAATGAAACCTATCGACTTTGGTGGTATACAGACTGTTGCTCTAGCTCCACCATGAATTGAAACTGAACTTATATATTTTGTCATCTATCAGCATAGTGTTGTTTGTGAAATGAGTCACTTACTGAGGGTATTATAAGGATTTGCTAGAAATCCATTTAACTTAACTCTAGATTAAAGTTGTGTAACTAAATATATTCCCAAAAAATAACTAAATAAAAACACTGCCGTCATGCAGAGAATGACGGTATTGGGAAAATTAGTGGAAGGAGTTGTATGGTGGATGAAAAATGTGAGCATATACGAAAGTACTTTCTTCTGTCTAGATTTTGAGGCAACTTAAATCTACAGTGAACTTGTGAATTCGTTCATACTGGGGTTTTTTCTCTCTCTTAAATAATTTCACTTCTGTCTCTTTCTTATCTCTGTTCATTTTCTACCTCATTCAAATTTTCTTGCTGTCAGAGCTTCTTGTAGCTCAAGAACTAACCTTAGATTATCAACAGAAAGTACAATTCAGCAAAATAATAATGAAGACACATGTTCTGTGGTGTGTAGGTGCCAGGGGAAAAACCTAAGATTCACCCCAAGCGGCAAGTTTGCTTTGTTTTCTTAGCTTTTGCAGTCTCATAAATAAACATTAGAAACTAATACTCTCACACCTGTTCACCTTACTTAACAGGGCAATACAATTGTACACCTTCTAAATTTATTTCTGTCTGTCACCAAACTAAGTCTGTCTTAATTGTCTTTTAACTCATCGTGAAGCACACTTCACTCAAACTTGACAGAAATGGCAAAACTGTCTTGGTTAGTCTTGTAATTTGCTTAGTTAGTTAGTTTGTTAGCTTTGTTTTGATCAAACTAATAATAATAATTATTAAAAATAATAAATAATAATAATAATGCTAATCTCAGCTGTCTCTCTACTGTTGCTGGCCTACTGTTTACATACCTATACACTGGCCTCTAGTTTCCCGGCGCGGCGCAGGGTGGCGCAGGGTGGCAAACCCCACGCAGAGCTAGTTTCGAGCAGTGCAACCTGAGGTGCGCTCAGTTTGGTAGTTTGGCAGACCGAGGTGCGCTGAGATGGGTGTGGTGGCGCATCAGGGGGAGGTTTCGACAGATCCAGTTTGTCTCAGTGACAGTTTTGTGCCAAAAGGTTTTGCTGAATGTTTGCTAAAAGCTCGCCATCTGAAACCAGGTCTACTGTCAGTGCAGGGGGAGAACAGCCAGTGTAGTGGAAGTTTGGCTGACCGGCGGACAGTGCGCACACGTCACCAAAACCTCACAGGCAGGTTTCCAGAATATCAGGCACATTAACGATGCAATAAATAGCCACACAAACCACTATTCAATGCCACTATCTGCAATCAGAACAAACAAAGAAAAGTCCGCACACAGCTCCCTTTTTAGGTCCATTTATTCCATCATCATGGAGTGACGTTTCGGGCCACAGGTGCCCTTCTTCAGACACAAGAAGGTCAAGAGGGTCTGAAGAAGAGCACCTGTGGCCCGAAACGTCACTCCATGATGATGGAATAAATGGACCTATAAAGGGAGCTGAAGTGTGCTGACTTTTCTTTGTTTGTTTAGTTTAATTCTTTTAGTCCAGCACCTTCTTCACAGCCGCACGCGGCTGCTCTTTTTATATTCACTATCTGCAATCAGCACATAAATGTATCTCTATATCGACTGTCCTGTCACATCTGATGTCAGATCAAAGGGGATTGGCACCGTTTGGCACGTTTGGCACGCGTAATGGAAACCCAACCTGATTTGATTAACACAGCTGCAAACTAATGAGTTCACATCCCTCTCAGCCAACCACAAACAGCCACAGCATCAGATAGGGAGTATATATTCAGCATCTGCCATCTTAGAAAAGTTAAAAGAAAAGAAACAGAATGAGACTGCGAGAGAGAAAGAGAGAGAGTGCGCGCACGAGAGAAACGCAACATTGATTTACAATTGTGGTGACCTCCTCCCAGGCTACCTTTGCATCATCAGCCCATGGAGGTCTGCTCGCAGTTCCGTATATTCGGACACTGCGAGCTTGGACCTCCCGGACCAAAACATCAGTTTCCTCCTGGGAGAAGTTTGGCCGTCTGACGCTGCAGATGGCAAATTGAGTAAACTCTCATTACGCCATCGCGCGGCGCATTTAAGGGCGAGGAGAGGGGCTCATTTGATTGGTGTGATGTGAATCGGCTGTGTAGAACCCACTCCACGCCTTCTCTCCTCCCTCTTTCCGACTTGCGCAGGTAGGAGGGATGGAGGTGGGAAAGAGGAGTAGCTGTGCCAGCACACACGGTGTGCCAAACTTGCAAAATCCTCCTGGCCACACCCAGGTGCGCTGCGCCTCCGCCGCGCCTGGTCTGCAAAACTAGAGGCCATAGTCTTCACAAAGCGCAGTCTCCATGTCTCTCAGCTCAGTTGTATCAGTAGAGACTGACCTCTGGTGGTGTGTGCGTGCACTACATACAATGCATCTTCAATACAGCATTTCCGTTTGATTTTAAAACAAAGAGGAGCATCTCTATTTTTGACAGTATTGAAAATCAAGCTATTGTACATTTCTGAGTATGCTGATATTTCATAATACCGTGATACTGCCCAAGCCTAATGGACAGTGCCTTGCTCAAAGGCAGTAGCAGGAAAATGCTATACATGCATCCAACCAGGGATTGAGGCATCACGGACATCATTGCTAAATGAGTGTTGTTTATTGCATAGCTGCAACTTGATTTGCATTGAATGACTATCACTGCAATCCAGGGTTAACCTTAGCCCTGTGGTGTCTCCTATTCCAATACTCTACTGTATTTTATTTTGACCCTGAAACTGCTTTGGCATGATATGCATTTTGAAACTATGGAAATCCATCTCAGCCCCCTGGTTTGAGACCTGGTTTAAAGAACTGTTGGGAATTTTGCATGTTGAAAGACTGATGTATAAACTGTCAGTTCATCCTCAGAAGTTTTCCAGAATATGAAATCCGGTGTTACAGTACATCAAGGATTTATAGAACTCTCCCTTCTTTGTTTTATGTGTGCTTGTACTGCTTTTCTAGATAGGCAGTGAAAATAGCAAAATATCAACAAGTTTTGCCCAAATGTTTCTTCTTTTCTTTTCTTTTACCTTGGGGGAGGAGAGCAGGGGCAGGGTTTTTTGTAATTATTATAATTTATTGACTCATTTATTAATTTCATTATTGTTTGCCTACTTATTTTTTTGGTATTGTAGTGCTCCACCTGTTGTCAGTATGTCTTGTCTGCCTTGTTTTATTATGTATGCAAAACCAGTATAAATTAAATGTTCAAAAATCAAAAACGATAAAAACGTTCACCTTGTGGTGAGCGTAGTGTGTTAAATGAAAACCAGAGAAAGTGGACATTGTTTTGAGTGTGTACAGCCAACATAAATGCTGATGACTGATCAATATGTTTTAAGTTTGTATTTAAAAGGTTTAGAAACATGTTAGTATTACTTATTACTTCCACAAATAAGGCCACCTTTAGATTAGTTGATGTTTAAGGTACTAATACAGATTCAGTGTTGCTGTCCATCTTGTCTGTGTTAGACATGTGTTTCCACATTAGTAGCAACTGCAGTCAGATACACTCTTCGATGTTCCCTACCTTCCAAATGAGACCCACTGCTATCATCTGCTTGTTTTTTAACCTAATGTTTCAATGACTTGCACCCACCTAGACTGAAGTTCAGATATATATTAGAAGTTCAGTACATACCATTGCATACTACCCATGTTTTTTATTTTATCACAGCTCTCACTTCCATTCTGAGAGCTCATTTAAGTGCAGGATTGGAATCCACATAAAAATGGTTTTCAAGCCCCCGGCAGATCGCTGAGCGAAGTTAAAGAGTAGCAGGATATTTTGATAAGCCCAGGTCCCATGACAGGATTAAACTGTGGGAAGGTTTTTAAAAAGGTCGTGAACCTGTGCTTTGAGAGTCATCAGATAAAAAACATGCAGTGATTTTTCATCAAGCATGTATGACAAGATTATCATGAAATGAAAAAAGGTGAAGAAGCGCTCTTTTATGTTGATTAGTTTACCTACAAAGTCTGTGATCCTAACTATTGCAGAGTCAGCGCGAGCCCTTTGGTACCTTTATGATCTTTATTTTAACTCTTCTTCTCTTCTATTTTCCAGTCCATGGTTTTAGGTGACGGGAGGAAGGCTGAGTTGTGGGTATGCTTTAATCCATCTTACTGCCAGGATCGGGTGTCACGAGTCCTGGATGAGGTAATGCTTATTTTTTTGCTTTTCCTTTTTTTGGGTAAAATTTCTTACGTAATGCTTTTAATCTGGGAGCATATTGTGAACCTCTTAGCGCACCATATCTTAGTGCATATGGCAGTGGCTCCCAATATGAGTTTTATGACCTGCATTGGGTTCAAGAGATAATTATAGGGATAAAAAAAAGAAGGATATCTCCACAAAACAGTTTTTCTTTCTTCTCCAAATTTAACTTTTATCTTTCAAAGGCTGGATATTTTTACCTCCAAATCAAATAATTTCAGGCCATAACCAGTGACAAGGGGTCATGAGTAACATTGCTCTGTCATAGGCCTGGCGGTGTAACTTAAGTACATTTACTAAATTTGAGGTGTGAGTTTTATGCATTTTTATACTTTTTTACATAAACTCCCCTACAACAAATATTATACTTCTTACCCCACTACATTTGTCTGACATCTTTAGTTACTTTACAGATTACAATTTTTCATGCCCTTCCTTTCTGATATAAAAACAATGCATCCCTAAATCTGGTGATTTTGAATTTAAACTTTTCTGATAGATAAAATTATAAAGTGTTCTTTTATGGGTTGAGAAAATTCTGCTACGTCTTAAAGGTACAGTGTATATTATTTAGTTGCATCTAGCAGAGAAGTTGCAGATTGTAGCCAACTGAAACTTCTCCCATGTGGCAATCATGTAGGACAACTATGGTGGGCGACCCCACATCCTGATGGCCCTATCAAGAGCCAGTGTTTGGTTTGTCCGTTCTTCGCTACTGTAGAAACAACATGGTGGACTGTAGAAAAGGACTCAGTATGTAGATGTAAACAGCTTGTTGATGAAAACACAATAATTCTTAGTTTCAGGTGATTTGAAACTAACAAAAACATAGTTTTGAATATTATGTTAAATTTTGTCCAATATATCCCCCTAAATTCTACACACTGGACCTTTAACTTAAAAGAAAACAGCTGGAAAATGCATTGTCACAAAGTTGAAAACAGGGCTGTTTTTCTAAGCTCATGAAAAGTTAAATTTTAGAGATGTGTGGTTGTCACAGGACAATGACACAACAAACATATGATGATCTTGTAGACGATCAGAATTCTTCCTCCACCACCGCACCCTCCACCACCGCACAAGCTACAAATGACTGGAAATCACTGGCATTAAGTGAAAACAATCAGCGTTTACCTGCTTCTACCATTATAGTATTCATCTGTAGTATCAACTGTTCTGGACAAATACATGTCCTTCCTTGATATTTTTTTCCAGCTCCTTAAGGTACACTACCAGGGACACCCACAGCAAGACATGGTGGAGCTGCACGCTGAGGTCCACTTCCCCAACCTCCACTTTTCCTCCACCACAGTGGACTTTGGTTGTGTGCTGAACTGCACAGGGACTCGAAAAGAAATCTCTATCACCAACTGCTCCCCTCTGCCTGTGTCCTACCACTGGGCTTTCCTGGACGACCAGAAACATTTTACCATGAGGTATATTCACACTGAGAAATGTCCACACACAGTCATCAGGGTTACCATGAGTTCTTGAAATTTTTAAAAGTTTGTGAATTTGAGAAGAAAAAAAATCAAGGCCTTGAAAGTTTTAAGAAATAGACATTATCAGTGACAGTGCTTGAATTTGATGATTTGTGCAAAAGTAGAAATTGATGTTTTATATTGTCTGCCATCACTGTGACACAGCACAATTGATGAGTAGTCACACATTCACGCCTCTCTCTCTCTTTTAATTGTTGTCTGTGAGCTTCTGTAAAGCCTGCTAGCTCTCATTATAAAAATTGTCAGTGTTACAACAGTAATTAACCTTGATCCGTATGTCAAACTGTGCCGTGTTGGGTCCTTGAAATCGGGTTCTTTCATAGTACTTGAATTCGATATTTAGGAGGGTGTGGGAGCCCTGAGTCATATCAGGTAACTTTTCTACTTCTGTTTACACACACACCCTACACCTGATATAGCCTACACTAAAATATAGTAAGTAGTGTTCAGTTGCATACTGTATAATAACATACAGTATTGGTATAGCAGAGATGAAAGAGAGGGTGTACAGTACATAAGCCTTGTTTCCACCAAGTGTCCGGTTCAGTTCAGTTTGTTACACATTTTAATGGTTATTTTTGCATTTCCGTTGTGAAAAGTTGTGGATGGTACCAACAGAACTGTTTCATTTAATCCCTTTTTGTCACCCCCCTGTTGAGGTACCTAGCACACTGATCTGTCCAACCGTCACTCTTGCTCAGACTACAGCGGACTATAACCACTCTTCCTACAATGACAAGTTTACATAAATTAGTCAACTCTAACTAAGGATGTTTTGCTGCCTCTTTGTGCTGCTCAGAGGCTACCACCGGCAGCTACCATCAATTTTTAAGGTGGAATCGTTTCTTGCATCTTAATTTATGAGCTGATGTTGTGAATCATTCAACACACCTTAAATGTCATCATGACAACTTTGACCATTCCATTTGTTTTTATTGTCACTTTTGTGTCACATATGCTTTAGTGATGATTAGACTTCAAGTTTGTGCAAACTATAATATTCTATTTCCTCATTTGGAGAAAAAACAGTAGCGAAGCATTATTCCTCTACGCTTCGGAAGCACTACACCCCTGCTCTGCTCTAAACACTCCAATCTATTCTTTTTGTGCTGAATATGTTGCACAACCCTGTTTTGTGGACAGTCAGTGAGATCAGGGTGTCCACAGGGTCTTAAAAAGTATTAAAAGTTGATAAATCAAATGTTGGAAAATTAAGGCCCTTAAAAGCTATTAAAAAGTCTTAATCGTGATTTTATGTATGATTTTATGTATTACATTTTCTTGGCATTCAAGCTTTGACAAAAAGTATCCATTATGTATAATTTATTTTCCTCCTCGCGACTATTACAAACAACGATGTGTAGGTAGGCACACTCGGACTGCCACTCGGGGCCATGCGCATACCTGTGCGACATCACCCAGCGGCGCACGTCCAGGCGCCAAACAGAGGAGCAAAAGACAGTAAAAAATCCTTCTCATCTTATCTGAGTTCTGTTGTATGTTTGTGCTCCATAGATTTAATTGCAAACTACAACTGTTTAGTAAGTTAAAGATGCATTACTTCCATGCATCATTTAGGATGGCATAGATACATCCACAAGATGGTGCTTGAGGGCAGAATCAAAAGATTCTGACAACAATAAAAAGGCAACTGTGGAGGACGTCATAATAACGTACCTTTTAACAGAGGCAGCATTGTAGACAGTCATATCTTGCTTGAACTATGCTCCACTGCCCCCACAGTTTCTGGTGGTACTGCTCGGTTTCATCCGCATCTGTAAGCTTTCATAAAATAAGCACAAATATGGACGGAATGAATGGACAGAAGGCTCCATCAACCTCTATATATTTATCTAACCCTGAGCATAAATGAGCCTTAAGGGTATTATACCAAAAGCCTTTGGTGGAAACACAGCTATAGTTGAGTCAGAACCCTGCACTGCATTTTCACCTGAAAACATATTGTATGGTGACCGGGACAGAATTTAGTAAGTGAGGCGAAGAAAGTAAAGTTACCTGTGAGGCTTTGTTTTCATAAACTTTCATAAATTACATAGAGCATTTTTATTGTTACTTTCACTGGATTGGTTGACTACGGAAAGCTAAAGCACCCTTGCTCTGTAGAATGCTTGGTTCCTGTGTTGCACCTTTTTGCTTTATTATAGAACCAAAAAAATGTTTGGAACTGTAGGATCCTGAATAGACAAGATTCAGGGACAAGAACAGATAGGATCTCAGCCATATATTAAAACTGTCCAACGGGATGAGTCAGTACAGTAGCTATACATTGAACCCTCTGAATTGAAAGCCAAATCCATTATAAATTCTCTGGGGAAGACAAATCTACTGATTGTGTACTTAACGTTACATTGTGCCTCTCTCGAGCCTTTGCTTTGGCTCCTTTCCCTCGAAATGGACTGTGAATACTATAGTAGTCTGTCTGTCCATGGCCTTGAACCAAGTAACTGCTAAAGCTTTGCAAGATTTATCACCCTCCACTGTCTTTTTCCCTTCCCCCTCTTTCATCTATTGGTATTCTATCTTTTTACTCCATTCCTTGTACTCATCTTAGGGTTTTACATTGCCTATTTATCTTTTTTTTTCATATCCCTCCTTCCTCTCCTGCGGCTTCCCTGCCTCTTCTGCCTGTTCTCTGCTCTCTACCAAATTCTTATCAACCTTTTATTCTCTTCGTTTTCTTCACCCTTTCTCTCTTAGATTGTGACCTCGCTTAACAATCTGTCTCATAGGCTGTCCTGCTAATTAAATGGAGACCTCACTCTGTGTGCACACTCTCTCTCTAAAGTCTCTCTTTCTCCCTCACAAAACCTGCACTATCTAGCCATGTTCAGCTAATTACATCCCTATCAGTAATTACACCGCAGCCCTCGGAGAGGGGAATTTCAATAGAGCTAACTCTTTTCTATCCATCTATCCCACTGATAGATAGCGCTAGTACAATACATTTAAGTACTGTTACTTTTCAGTCTTTAGGATTCTATATCTATAAGAAGTAAACTGGAATACTTATGCCACCTTTTTATTGCACTGCAGCTTTTTGTATGCATGATTGATGGGATCCACTGACAACTTAATGACTGACTGATCACTCACAAGTAATGATTTCAGGTGTTTTAGAGGAAGTTGAATTTAGGCAGAGGTGTACAGGTGTAAAAAGGTTCTCAACAACTTTCCATGGTCAGTTGTGTTCAGCCTTCCAAACCTGTAATGTTACTTTTTCAAATAAGGATCAGAAACAGCCTTGAGTTTCCTAAGCTATAATGCTTGTACCTGCATTTTTATGCAGTGTAGCATCTAACCAGATAGTGTAAACAATAGCAAAAGACCTCTTAATGTCACTCATAATTAAATTTAAGACCAATTGTACAATAAACAAAATTGAAGGAAAAACAAAAAAACAAAACATGAAACAAGATATTTTCGTGTCTATGAGGCAAATTTTGCACTTCCTAGGATAAAGAGGGCATGACCCGCCCTACTCTGCTTTACTCTGCCTCTGATTGGTTTAGCCTGACATTCTTACCCTAACCCTAACCAATCTCAATCCACCTGCCTAAACCTGACCAATACAACCAAGGAAGGAAATGAGCACTAGGCAATCCAAGGGAGAATAGGGCGTGTCATGCATTTGCTATCCAAGGAAATGCTATACTATGATGCACCACTGTTGTACCACAAGGTCAACATGGGAAACAATGAATGCAAATTTTAGCAAAAAATAAATTAAAAAAATCCATCTCTAAAGCCCAATATTCATCCTACAACTTATTTTTGCCGTAGCACAATCAAGAAGAGGTGAATCTTGTTGAAATGACACTTGTCTAATGAATTACTAAGAATGAATGGAACGTCAAACGTTTGGAAAAAAGCAGAAGAAACAGTGGTGGAAGAAACATTCAGATCCTTTACTTAAAGTTAAAATGGTTAGAGAGAGGTTATTATTTTCAATAATTTGACACATTTCAGAGGGAAAGTATGCATGGGTGGGGTTCAGTTATGACAGAGATTCAAATCAAATCCTTAAGAGTTGACTGGCATGTGAAAAAGTGAGCCTGGCTTAGTGAAGGTAGCAGCATGCTGAGGTGTATTGAAATGCAGAGCTTGTCCTCCACCACATCTCCCTCTCCCATGTTATTAGTGTAAGAGGAAGAGAATGGGGGTTAGTTTTTTAGACCTCAACCACATTATTCAGAAATGTAAACAAAGTTTTGACCCGATAAAATCTAAACACACACCTCTAATGTGATACTGTTCTACTAGCCACTAGCAAACGTCAAGTGCTATTTACATGATGGGTGGGGTTTGCTAGTCACCCCACACCACATTTGATTGGATACATCTATGTCATTGCCCCCAAGTTCAGGATGAGTCATCTAAAATATTTTTTAGAGAAAAGAGAGGGGTTTCGATATAAAAATACTTAAAAATGTTTTTTTGACACTTATTTAGCATCTAAACAACAATTAATGCAAGGACACAAGATTATAACCAATATATATATATTTTTTTTCATTGTGTCTTTAGGTAAAGGGAGCAAAACAACAATGTGAAATACTCCATCAGAGATAAAAGTTTTTAAAAGCTTACTTAAGTAAAAGTACAGAGGTACAATGAGAAAAATGTTCTTACAGTATCAAAACTAAAATTACTCAGCGGAAAGACTCCTGTTGGTGTGAAATGGATGTAATTTTAAACGTGGTTTTATTAAAATGTATAAAGAGCATTTTAATTTTGTAGCTCCTCAAGTTGGAGCTACTTTAGACTGTTAGGTGATTCAACTACGACTATAACAATACAGTATGTAAAAGCTTACTGTACAAAGTAGCTCATTAAATGTGCTGTCAAATGAATACTTAGTAATAAGTATGTTTCCTTCTGAAATATCATGAAGTATATTTATGAGGTAGCATAAAATGGCAGACTCAAAGTACAAGTTACCCCCAACTTGTATTTAAAAACAGTTCTTAAAGTAAATGTACCCAGTTAATTTCCACCACTGGGAATAAGGGAAGTAACTCATTGTGCACATAGACTGTACGAAAATAGTGGGTCTCATTCATGAAACGTGAGCAGAAGGAATTTGTGTGTAGACTGAAATTTACGTGCATGTCATCGCATCCATCAATATTTTAGTAGCTCCGATCTTTTCGTAGCTACTAACAAAATCTACTCCTGCTCCTGACCACTCGTAGTGCTTGTGTATTATGTATGTATGTATTTAGTAAGGCACATAAATATTGCTTGTCACTTTTGGAAATTACAATTTTAATTCATACACAACACAGATGCCTTTGAAACACGTAATCTAAACATGACAAAATATTAAAAATATAACACCTTTAGTTAAATTAGTTGGCAATTAGCAGGTTTAAGATCCAGATTAGGTTCATGATTGTGAATTATCTATGTAAATCGACTCAGTAGATTACACGTTCTTTCTACATGTTGAATGATGATAATAAAAATATCCGTAAGGACAGCCAAATCACAGCCTCTTCAGCCTCGGTGCCTGGGTTCAGCAGGGGCAGCAGGTGGTGGAGCCGCGAAGGAGCACGCGCCAGCTGAAAGAATTGAGACAACACGTTTTTTTTGTGGCTTTTTGATAATTTGAATGAATAAATCTGATTTGAAAAATGTTTAATTTACGTTGTATAAAACAGAGCTTTAGGCTATTAAGATTCAAATAATTTGAAGACGATGCATACAAACTGCTGTAGGCTATATGTTATCCGTATCATTTGTTAAAATAAATGTTAAATAGCTCTACATTCTGACAGCCATCACTGATTTAGAGTTTATCCATTACGCACAAAACATCTCTGGTTTCCCGTTCCCACTTCATTCAAAACCCCACAAATGAATCTTCTGTTTGTTTGGTGACCGCTGTATTTTTTTGTGTGTGTGCTTATGCGTTTCTTTGCCTCCAGTTTCATATCAAACCATTTACACTTCAACTCTGACATGGTTCTTTGTATCACGGAGACAACATTAACAGCATCTGTTACCTCCCTCCAGGCCTTCGCTTTGTCTGTCCCTGTCACACCACTACTAACTGAAGACAATAAAATGTTTTTTCTTAAGTCCACTTCACTTTCGATCTCCGCTTCGGAAACATTCTTTTTTCCTTCTCTGTCTTTCTTTCTTTGCGCCATGACTGACAGGTCGACTGGATGCACCTACACCTCCTTATATGGTGGTCATTGGCTATTCATGGGTGGGGATTTATGCTAATTGCTGATTACCGGGAGCGCGCTGTCACTTTACGATGGATTGGCATTCATGATCATACACACATGTTTACGATCAAATCTGAGTTTCCCGCGGCGTTCCTGAATCCGGAGTAGGTTTTTAGTAGAGTAGACTTTTATGTGCAAATCTACACACAGATTTACTCACTTTTCATGAATGAGACCCAATGGACGTAGCCATCGTGATGTCAGTCATTGATATGTGGACTGAGTTTGGCATTTTGACTGTAGCCATCTTGGATTTTTGGAGCCTCACAGACAGTCTCACAGACAGGCTGTCACTCAAAGAGGCCACACCCTAATTGTACCTAATTTTAAGCCGTATTAAAAAGTAAGCTGGTGAGTTATATAAGAATTTGACCCCCATGAAGTTGTCATGAATGGGAAAATTAGCTATGGAGACCGAAACCGTTTTTTTTGTACCAGGCTGTAAACATGTTTATGTCAAGTCAATGAGTCAATGTCCAACTACCTTTTTGAGCCAGCCTCCAGTGGCCATTCTGGGAACTGCAGTTTTTATACTTCCTTGTTGGCTTTTAAACAGCTTATTCACAATGGAAACAATGATTCGGAGTGAAACTAGTTATCCTTGTTGGTGCTTTTTTACTTGTTAAGCCTCTGACTAAAACTAAGTAGAGATATCAAAAGTTAAAACCAAGTGTGATACACACACACTCAAACTGACTTATTAACTGTAACCCCAGTAGTCATTTGTCTGTACCAGTGTGCTTTTCGTAGCATCAAAATGTTTCCCATCATGCCTGTTTTTTTTTTTATTTCAGCTGGAAGTGTGTTTGTGGTTCAGAAGCCTCTGGTGTGTAGAATTTTAGTGAGGCTGAACATAGGAGGACAGTCACACCCACCCATGAAGGAAAGAATAGATTGAAGAAAGAGAGAGACAGATATGAGAATGTCAGAGTAGGCTATTTCTGTTTTGAGCCGCGCTCTTGCAGAGTCATCATCTGCTGTCTCACCATCTGTTCCTCTGTCCGCACCAGTGGGTTTTAAACTCTTTCTAAAAGGCTTATTTTTTTCCACAGGGGGGCAAATGGTTTTTGTGGGCTCTTCTGAACTCTCATCCACCAAAAAAAAGCACCCTATTTTTGAAGACATTGACCTACAATACTTGCTCAACCCTACATCTCTCAAGGCTGGACATACTAATTTGTGAGTCTCCCCAGGGCCGGACATCAGGCCAGCTTGTCCCTTAAAACTGCATTCCATCACAGACTGACCATACAACAGTGCCCCCTGCTGGCTGCATTGCCACCATCCACTCATTATAAGCTGACACACCAGTTCTGTAGCATGCTTGGGAACTCTGACAAATGTGTGTGCAGACTTGAATGCTGCCTTACATATAAACAGGCTTACACACAGACATACACACACATACACAAACACATACGCACACTATAGCAATAACGTAGCCAGTGATGGGTGATTTAATATAGAACTTGTCCAGCCCAGCTTTGAGATGCCTTCACTCACTAAATCTCTTTCATTCTCTTCCATGTTTATTCAGCACTTCACTGCAATCTATCCTGACCTGTTTCCTGCTGCTTGCCTATTAAAATTCCTCTTAATTATAGAACACTCTGTTTAATTAACTTGATGGATGCACCCAGTCTGATCCCACAGGGAAGGAGAGAGTAGAACAGAGAGAGAAAATGAGAGTCAGAGTTCTTTGGGGTGTGGGTGCTAAAGATTTTCTTCTCCACTTGGGTATTGCGATATATGTTAATGATATATTGGATGTACAATAGATGCTTATGTAAGTTGCTGTGTACATGTGGTACACTGCTACCTCATGGACATCTTGAGGCCTTCAGTTATCTATTTCATGAAGCTGGAAAACGGTTTACTGTATGTGTTTTCTTGCCTCATGTCACTGATTATCCCTATGTTTCATTTATTGTGTGTCTGTTTATGCAGTGTTACTTTCATTTCCTCTCATCAAATAAATATTTAACTTCTATTTATTGTTACTTTGCACTCATAGAGAGACAGAGATGCTGGAGGCAAAGAAGGAGCGGAGAAGTCCAGACAGTGAGATTGAAGAAGGATGGAGTTCCTCTAGAACACTGTCTCCTGCCTTTTCAGTCCATCTCAGCCCCAGGCCAGGTGCGGATGAACAAAGCAGCACGCAGCACCCTGTGGGTGTGGAGGAGGTAGGCAAATGCTCACTTGTAAACAAATCAAGGTTTCCCTAGGTTTCCAGTTGGTCAGGGGAGAGAGAAAGCCCGCAGCTAAGGTGCAAGTCATTCTCTGTCTCTATGCTGCAGTGCTGTGGAGGTAGAAAACACGCAGGTGCCACACCCATGCACATAGTTTTGCATAATAAATTTAACCTTGGAGAGTCTGCCTTTGTATTATCAACATGCTCTTTGTTGTTATCACTGCCCTGATTTATAACCTATAATATTTTATTATGTCTCCATTGTTAAAGTGATCAGAATACTTATATCACATCTGCACAGATGTATTAGCGCTGCAACTATATCTATTTTCATCGTTGAGAAATCTATTGCCTAATCTTTGACCAAATAACTCAAATTTGTTTCTGGTCTATACTTTGTAAAAATATCAATGTTATAGAACTGTCTGACCAACAATCCAGAAAAATCAAGGAATTTGTATGTATTGATTAGGTCATTGATAGATCAACTAATTGTGTGTGCTAACTTAGTAGTACACACCACTAGTGCAAACTCTAGATAAAAGAAACTCTGAAACACTAGAGCTTAAAGGAATAGTAGAACATTTTTGGAAATGTGCATATTTGCTTTTTTTGCCAAGAGTCAGATGAGATGGTGAAAACCACAGTCATATCTGTCAGTTGGTATGAAGCTTGATCCAGGAGATTGTCAGGTAGTTAGTTGCTAAGTCTTAAAGGCTGTAAGCAGGGTGAAGAAGCTTGCCTGGCTCTATCAAAAGTAAGAAAAAAAACACTAATTAACATTTTATATCTTGTTTGTTCATTTCGTACAAAAGACAAAGTGTTAAAACAACAGGTTGTGGTTTTACTGGAACTACTTCTTTAACAAGAGCAGTGACTTTGGCTGCCTCGCAAAGCAGGCAAGACTCTCGAAAGTGACTTCACCTTACCAAGAAATAGTCCAGCACATTATTCCCGATAAAACCACAGTGCATCGTTTAACATTTTGTAAGGATAGGAACTGAGAGTGGAACTGACCTTCTCATTTCAAAAGATTGCATTCACACCAAATCAGGTGTTGCTGCAATTAGGCACTGTGGGAGTGTCAATTAAGATAGCTCATTTATGGGGGTGTGGTGACTGGACCCCAACTATGGAGAGCCAATTTCCCCATCTAAGCAACTAAGTATTTGTCTGCGGTAGGTTTATGATTATGTAGGTTTATGGTTGAAAAGATCTACAGAATTTCTTTTGATTATTGCTAGACCCACTGTAGTGGACTGCGGGTGTCTTCTGGTTTGATCACCTGTTACATGGTTTCATTTCTCCAAAAGTTGCTTCTGTTTCAACCTTTCACTGCAGGCCGTTGTGTTTTTTTTTTATGGCGACCCTTGCGGCCTCATCAGCCTGACACACTACCCACTTTTAAATGAATAGGAATACTGCCATTATCACTGCAGTGCCTGATTTGGTGTAGATGCAGCCTAAAGGCCTTTACACACTGAGTGTGTTTATTTAGTTTGTGTTTTGTAATCCGTCATCCAAAAAAAACCAAAACAAAACATTTGCACAGAAACCTTGCACACTAATTCAAAACAAAATGTAACCACGTATTTGCTCCCTTGCTTCTCTCCACTGGAGGTACTTCCCTTGCTGTCTCCATTCTCTCCATATGTTCTGTGTTTGGGACCATGGCTACCTAAAGGGGATGAGCTGTTCTCCCTCTTTGTGTCCACACTGTCGCTCTGTCTGTGTGTGGTCTTCATCCTTTGTTACATTCTCCTCTTCGTCATCATCATCATCCACCTGAATATTAGTAACTCTCTCTTGATGTAAATGTGTCCCGCAACCACACTTTTTTCACTGCGTCAACTCTCTAAAGGCTTTTGATGGATGCAAAAAAACAAGAATCGAACATGTTCCGAAAACTTTAATGAGTGCAAATTTGAGACACCAAGAGGTCTTATTTGCTTTAAGATGTACAACGATTTTGGATGAGAAAAACGGGTTCAGTGCGCAAAGGCATTAACTCAAGCCAAAAGACCGAATAGGTGCACGTCACATAATGCCAAATGATCCCTTTAATGGGAGTGTAACAGCAGCCTATTGGAAGAATCAGTAAGAAATGAATCTCATAAGAATCTTGTTAATCTTGCATGGTCCACTGGTTTTGTTTTTCTATAGGTGTTTGATATCTTGCCCATATACGGTCATCTGCAACCAGGGGAGCAGCAGCAGGTCATTTTCTCTTTCTACGGCCACGAAAATGTCAGCAGAGAGGTGTTCGCACAGTGCCACGTAGAGGAGGGGCCTACGTATGAAATCAAACTCAGAGGAGAAGCATCAGTAATCAGCTACAGCCTTGACTCTTCCCATATTGACTTTGGTCTGCAGGTATGTATACAGAGCTCCTTTACCCTGACTTTATCTTCTTAGTTCTTCATCCCAACTGCTCTACTGATCAAATGTTTGAGCTAAGTTTTTTTCGATCTTAATGGCAAGGATCAGGGTTATAGGTAGTGCAGGAGACTGCTTGATGTGGCAAAAGAGGCAGAATTCACCACTGCTTGATTTACTCATGTCTGGCAAACCTCTCCTTCACTATGTTTTCAGTTACATTGTCTTGTGTTAATTTGCCTCCTTGTTGTCCTGCTATCCTGCTTTTCTTGTCCTTGTTCCTCTCTGCTGTCTGTTTGCTCATCCATGTGTGACCCGATTCCTCATACAAAACTAATTAGATTTTTACAAAACTTGGGTGAGTTGCAAAATGACACTGACAGGCCTTGGGGGGAGTGTGACAGATCGGTTTGTGATTGTGGATGAGGATGTGTTTGCTGAATTACTGTTGTTTGTTTGTTTGATTATTTGCTTGTTTGCTTAGTGTTTTGACAGACAATCTAATTTTATCCCCCTCCCATTCCATTTCTAATGCTGAAGGACAGACTGTACGATTAGTGATTGTAAGTCATAAGGATACACATGGTATAAACACTGTTGAGAGTGGCATAAAGGTTTTTTTTTACCCACTAAAAAGACTGATGAGATGAATTACAGTAACTTTGAATGTCACTGTATAGTTTTTCACACTTTGGTCTTTTGCACTTCCACCCCCTCTTTAAGTATGCAAGCCATCCAGACCAGTTATCATTGATATTCAAAACAAGGACATATTGATTTTTGATTTAGTTGAAATGAGCGATTCAGCAGAACATTTCTCTGACCTTCCTGTCTGTTCAGCACTATTCTTTCTCTTGCTGTCTTTTCTCTCTCTCCCACTCCCTGTGTTGTTTTCTTGTGGTCAATTAGATTTACCCATATTAGTCAGGAAGTCCTGAAACGACCCTCTCTGTGCATGCACAAGTGGCCGACTTTGAACAGTTCCAGGTTTTGAGCAGCAGCATTTTTGTCTCTTACTTCTCATCTCAATTTTAACACTCAAATAACAATTCCATTGTGCTCATTTCACACTAACAACTATCACCTTATCTTCTTTGTTGTTAGATTTTTATGATAGTTATAACCATAAGCCATCTGGTTCAAATGAAGGCCAAACTCATGCATGCTTCTCTGGAACTGTGTTTTTACTGTACTGTATCACCTTTACAAGGCACCCACTCCACCTGAAAGACACTAGGTGGAGTGGTTTTATCAAAACCTTCTGTTTGCCATCAGTAAAGATAAAGGTGTTGAAAGTTTAAAAGCCAGTGTTGCATATCCTCTGTTTTTCTTCCAGCTGTTTGATCATGCAGGGGAAGCTGAAGTGACCCTGAGGAATACTGGCAAGGTGGGCTTCAAATTTAGCATCATACAACCTCAAAGTGAGGATGAGGAGGAGGCAGGTGAAGAGACAGGAGGACAGAGGAAAGCCATCGAAGGAGAGCAAAATGAGAAAGAACAGGAGCTCAGACCAGGCCAGCCCATGGTCATCCCCAACATAGTGAGTTGGAATCATTTTAAATGTGGGAGGGTCATTTATTATGTGTAAGATTTTTTTTTTTACCAGTCAATATGTGTGTTTGTTTTTGTGTATCAGGGTTACATTGATGCAGGTGTGGAGCAGTGTCTGCGTGTGCTCTACCTCCCGGGCATCCCTGATGTGTTTGAGAAGCGCCTTCAGCTGCAGGTGGCATTCCTGCCACTGCAGGACATCACGCTGACTGGAGAGGGAGTTTTCCCAAGGATAAGCCTGAACTTGCCAAGAAACCTGTGTATGCATAGACATGCACTCATACTCACAGACACATAATCATATTCCTATTCAAGTCAGAATGAACATTTACAATGAAATATATACGTTTTTAGGTATTAGGTATTTCATATTACGCCCCCATCCACCATTATGTGCAATAGACTAACTTTTATATTGTACTTTATATTCATTTTGTTTGCCCAAATGCAATCTTGGTGTCAGGTAATACCACTGGAATTAATTGTTCTCAGTGCGTCGGAACGGACAAATCTAAAACTTTGTCAAACACAGTAAACAACAGTAAACAGAAAATGCTTAACATGTAGTGTAAGGGTTTATTGATCCCCATAAGAAAAATTCTGAGAGAACAGAGTCGCCCAAAGAACACAGCTTGTCCCTTAGAACAGAATTTATTCCGTAGTATGTAATCCTTGTTTTGCTGTTTTGCTTTCTGACGCTGTTTGCATTAGAAATCATTGAGCCCAAATCCCTTAGCTAACAGACAGGTCTCCCTAATAGTCACGTCTCCATGCTAACAAATATTGAGACACAAAAATAACTTTTTGTTTCTGCGCTGGTGTCTTGTTGTGATTCTCTTGCAGCAGAGGAGTGCTATAGTGACGTGGTGCAGCAGGCCAGAACAGCTGTGGAGGGAGATAGAGTCAGAGAGGAGCTGATGGATGGAATTGCCACTGGAGGTGAAGGAGCAACAACCGAGGCCAGCAGCATCCTCACAGTCAGTGACTAAGATAAACAGCACTGATGTTATGCCATAAAACCTTATCTTTTGTATTATTCCATACGCATACTGTATGTAGCGTAGTGAAAACTGTGCTATTCTTCATTCTAGTAAAGTAGGAGCACTTATTCTTCCTATCTCTGAATAACACAAATTTATGTTTGTTGTAATCAGCAGAGTTCATCTTGTGTCCTGTTTAGAATGCTTTATGTATATGTATTAAGAAATAATGCATGCCATTGTGATCACAGATATACTGCAGTGTACATGCTCCAAATCTATATTCGCTCTATATGGGCATGGCAGTGCCACTACATCTCTGCTGTTAGTAACCAGCCTATTCTACAGGGCTTTCCCTGCTTCTTATCTGTGTATTGATTTTCTATAGAGTAGGCAAGACCCAGTGAATTTCAATGGAAATTGCTATTTTCTGCTTATCCACTCAGTATTTGTTCATGGTTTTGTGAGTTGCCCCAACAACATCCCTGACATTTCCCCTAACCACTGACATAAAAAATGAAACATTTTTATAGCAGATAAGGACAGGAAGGATAAAGACTGCAATACCTGTGAATAACCTGACAAATTGGAACCTTACTACCTGATTCACAAAGAACCCTGATCTTAGTGACTTTCTATCTGTTTTTGTTATGGTGTAGAAATGAGGGAAGAGGATGGCAAACTGATTTAGAAAATGTATACAATTCACAGTTTTGCCTAATTATCAATTATCATACACTCATAAATGTTCATAAATACATTTTGAAGTCATAATTACAAGGTGAAGATTGATTAGCATGCATTATTATGCAGTTTTGATTTGTCTAGTAAGAACAACAGCTCAAAGTATCTCCAGTAGAATTTTGATGATTGAAAATACCTCAGATCTGTAGTGATGTTACAGCCATTTTTATCTTACAGTAGCTTTCTTGATACAGAATACAGAAATCTGCAATTTTTTTTTCAAAACATTAAGATACATCTAATTACATGTTGGCTAGTCAGTCAAATGAGTTTTATTTATACAGCCAAAAACACAAATTTGCCGCAAAGGGCTTTACAGCCTGCACATACAGGTATGACAACATGTCAGAGTTGCAACGATTAAATGATTAATGGTTTAGTTATCAACTATTAAATTAAATGGCAACTAATTTGACATTTGTTCGAGTAATAAAAAAATAAGGTCAAAAATCTCTGATTCTAGCTTTTACCTTATTTTGTTATTATTTTGTGTGGGGAACGTTTGTGGGCGTGTACCCCACAGAGCTCAGGTGAGGTTGGAGGTAGCAAGACTAGACCAGACTGTAAGCAGCAGGCATCCAAGAGACACATCACCAAAAAAGTGCAAATAAATTAATATATTGAGGTGAAATGCCAAACAAGAGTGAATCTAAGGTTAGAAAAGGTAACAAACAATCCTGCATAGTATACCTTTAAGTGTGAATATTTTCTGGTTTCTTTACTTCATGACAGTTAACTGTATTTCAGTGCATTGTGGACATTTATAGATGTCATTTTGGACTTCAAGAAACACTGATCTGCATTTTTGTGTGTTATCTGACATTTTCTTGACCAAATCATTTTATTGATTGTTTGAGAAAATAATCGACAGATTAATAGACAGTGAAAATAATCACTTAATGCAGCCCCACAGCAAATGACACCTTCTGTCCTTAGACCCTCGGTCCAGATATAGAAACACATCCCCCCAAAAAACCCTTTAAAACTGGAGCAAGGCTAGAAACCTCAAGAGCAACAGAGTAGGGATACCTCTTCCAGGATAAACAGACACACAATAGATGTTACAGTTTACTTGGTCAAAATGCTAATTTAACATACCACCAGTCATATTCTGACTTGTAGACTGAAAACTAAAGTTAGACTAAAGTTACTCTGCTATGTGAAGCATTTGGACATTCAGATTTCTCACAGTTAAAAGATATCTTAGTAATGATGTTCAAGGCTGAAATATGACTTGTTATAATGCAATGTTCACAACCTTACTGCACCAAGGGTTGTAAAAATGATTTGGTGTGGGCAACTGATCATCCCAAATCTGCAGATCTCAAAGCTCTTCATCACCATAAATGCCACGATCATGAGTTCTTTTAATGTAGTGGCTCTTTTTTTTCCTCAGGATTGAAATGGTCATGGCTGGAATCTTAATCAGCCAGCTCTGTTTTACAAAACCAGCATCCATTTCTAAACCTTGAATCACATCAAGTGATATCTGAAAATCAGTCAAAACTGAATGACATCCAGCTGTCACTCTGAGCTGTAGTGTATGTGTGATGAGACCAATTCTTAAAAAGAGCTTTGACTAGTAAAAATAGATTTGGAGGTACCTTGAATTTTTGTACTTACCATTGAGACTGTGCAGTCTATTGCTTATGTAACTCTTCAATACTTTCTTTGTAACTTTCAAATGTTTATGTACCCCTCCCTCTGTCTCCCCTCCCTTTTTCTTTTCTGTCTTTTGCCTGCGGCTTCCAGTATGAAGAGCTGCTTCACATGGAGATTGAGAGAACGTTGGTCAAACAGAATGCTCTTGCTGTGACCGGCAGCCTGTTGGAGCTTAGAGACTCGCAAGGTTCCTCCAGAAAGTGGCACAGACTTAGCCAGTATGTTCACACACACACACACACACACACACACACACACACACACATTGTTTGAACAGATGGTCCACTCACTGGACTGAAACAAGAACTGTGTTGTGAAATTCAAAGACTTTGGGCTAATGAATTATATCTGTCTGGGTGCGTTTTTGATCTGTGCTACTTGTGCAAATTGATGGATGTCATGGTGTGCATTGGCTGTTTTCTCTCATACCATATTGTGACGCCTTGTTTAATTTCCACAAATGTATACTGCTAATTAAGACATTAAATAAGCAAGTTAATGTTGAAGGCAAAGAATGGTGTCCCACTGAAATACAAAACACATCACAAACGTAAAAACCAAACTTAATAATAACTAATATGGTCAGTTGTAAAGTACAATTTACTTGAAATATTTATGTCAATGGCATTGTTTTATAAAGTGATAACATATTATGATCATGACAACTGAAGAATTGAATCTCAGAAAATCATAAAGCTCAAGTATTACCCAGTAAACTAAATTGCTTCAGTAAACAGACTTGTAGATATTGCTTGTTATGATCTTATTCTTGTCACCAGCCCACCTCTTTCTACTCCCCCAGGTTCCCACTCCCAGAGTATGTTTTGGATTTTGGTTATGTAGTTCCAGGCAAAGTCCTCAGTCACACTGTAAATGTGACCAATACTGGGTCAGTGGCTGTGTCCTTCCATGCCAATGGCAAACCTCTAGCTGGCACAGGTAACACACAACACACTTCCTTTGAGATCCATGTGATATCATTATGTAGCTCACAGCTCCATTTATGGTACGTAAATGGAGCTGTGAGCTAGTTCTAGTAGTCAACCCAAGCTACACTGATTCTTAAACTCATGACATACCTCACTCTCCATATCATCTACAAAACACACCCTGACCTCCCAATTTGACGGTCAGTTAAGGCGGCAAATATTTCCCAGCTCTCCCTCTGCCTTGTCAATGACATTGCAGCCTCTCATTAGTATTGCTGCCTGCTCGTTTAGCCCCAGCATCCTCCTACATGCTCAGGCTGGGGGGGAGTATTCAATCATCACTCCCCAGTATCTCATGTAAACATATCTGCCAGGAGTGATGAGGTCGGAGTGTAGACGGTAAACTCTAACTATGTTCTGTTGCTGTAATAAACATTTCAAATGTTAGTTTTGTGGCTGAACTATTCAAACAGCTTGGTGTGATGCATCTGGTATTTATATCCTGGCACTGGTTGGGCCTTACGTCACACAGCAGTTACATAACAAATAACAACATAGAATCAAATATTTGTGCAATTATGCAAATACGTCATTTGGAAAATTGAATATGAAACTGAAAATCCCTGTAAGACTTAAAGTATAGTTCAGAAAAAGAGTTTGAAACTTTGGAAAATATGCTCATTAGGTTTTTTTTAGTGAGTTAAATAGGAAGATTGATACCATGTTTCACCACTGCCTCGGGTCTCGGTGCTCGGCCATGTCTCTTTAGTGATAGCTAGTGTGTGTGTGTGTGTGTGTGTGTGTGTGTGTGCGTATATATATATTTTCGTATCTCTATGTGGGGTGGGAGGGTTGGGTTTTCTCTTCTTTTTGTTTTCTGTTTTGGATTTTTGTTGTTTTTAACCTCTGTGAGGCACTTTGTGTTACTGTTGTATGAAAAGTGCCATATAAATAAAGTTGATTTGATTTGATTTGATTAATGTGGTAACATTCTGCCCATCTTCTGATATTAATCATTGTGTTTTCATTGGCTATTTCATTTCTGTTTCTTCTCAGTATTATACATTTTTTGCCTTAATTACATAAAGAAATACTTTAAATGTTTTTTTTTTTTGTTTCATCAAAGGATTCAGTGTAGAATTTGAAAGGGTGAAAAACCTGCCCTGTGGTGAGACACAGACTTTCACAGTTAAATTTGTCCCCCATGGAGCCAACCTGAAGATGGGGGACACAAGTGTTGTCATGCCAATACAGGTACACATGGGCACACACAACACATGAACATGTGGACAAATACTGTCATTAATTCTGATTCAGTGTAAAATTTCTACATAAGTGAGTCCTCTGGGTCTCCCTTGTTAATCAGTAGCTTTGTGACCTTGTTGCAAAGATGATTTTGTTTGCTTGCACAGGTCACAGGAGGACCAATGGTCCAGGTACGGCTTTGTGCAGTGGTAACTGTGCCGGCCATCACTGTGTCCACAGACACACTGCAGTTTGACACTGTGCAGTGTCACATGTGTCAGGTAATACAGTGTGATAATATAGAATTACAAGATACTGTTATGTAGTCCTAGCAAGGTTGCAGGTTGAGTTTTGTGAATGAATGAAAACACTGTGTTGAAATTTTGTATATTCATATAGTTTACATGTGTTTAATTGAAATGGGATAGTTACACAAATTAACTAAAATTAACTTTTACTGCCTATTTTTTTGTTTTTGTTTTCAACATGCAAAAGTAGCAGATTAGGAAGCACAAATCCTGTATACAGCTTAAACTAAAACTTTATTTGTATTTCAGTTACTCACCCCATTTTACACTGAGTTCATCAAGAAAACTTTGTATTTCTCGCATGCCTCCATGGTGAAAGAAGACTCCAAACACGCAGAAAATTCTCAGCAATTCGTAGTAAAAGGAGGTCCAGACAATCCAACTCTCATTTATCCAGTCGTATGTTCAGCACTTCCTAAACACATGCATTTTTGCTAAAACCTTACTGTTTAGAACAATGAAATATGAGTAGCATGCCTGGGCAAGCATGTGCATTTGAATTCTGCCTGTGCATTTCATTGAGTTGCCCAGGTGTGCTACTTGTCTGTGCATGTGACTGTTAATGTGCAAGTGTTTTAAATAGTAAGGTTTTAGTGAAAATGCATGTGTTTGGGAAGCAGCAAGTGGAATGGATAAATGTGACTTGGATTATTCTACATGAGTTGTGAGAGAGTTTGTTAACAGACGATTTCATATAAATTTGCTGTTGCTAAACGTGGACCCGCTAGGTCCTCAGGTCATCATTTTTACATTCTTCTTTGACCTCGGAGGCATGTGAGAAAAACAAAGTTTCCTTCACAAATAAAATGTAACCTGGGGTAAGTAATTGATATACAAATGATCATTCTGTGGGTGAAGTATTCTTTAACACTGCTTCTTCAGAAGGGCATTAATGAGAGACCAGGATGCTGCTTCACTGTGGTGCCATCTTGTGGTCAGATCAGGTTTATCATTTCTAAGGATTTCTTTTACTAAGCTCATCGATTTGCAGTGCTTAAATGTGGTTGTGGTTATATATCTTTAAAGGAGGCAAAGCATTATTTAAAAGCTATAATTAGTGACAATATCAGTTCATTCTGTGGTAGCCAGTCTGACATGAGAATGCACTCAGGTTGTTGTTGTCATTGTTCTCCATCAGATGAAGACAATACAACTGTTTAACCATGAGTCTGTGCCCTGCTACTGGAGGATAGCTGAGAAGATGAAGCCTTTCAAAAAGGTACAACAATTGTCATTTTATGGAATTTTTAGTTAACTTATTCAATGAATTTTGTAATTTGATATCCAGGTAACAAAAACTACTTGGTATCTATCAGATTTAGCTTAGGATAAACTAAGTGTGTAGAATACTATCTCAAAGAGCCTCTGTTCTTGCTCTCACTCAGGTAGACAAGTTCCTGCCTCTCCATCAGCGTAAAAAGGTCTTGCAGAAGCAGCGACCACCAGTGGTATTTAAGGCGATTCCCTGCTCTGGCATGCTGTCACCCGGAGAACGAGTCAATGTCCAGATAAAGTTCAGCCCTTCTGAGGGGGTGAGGAGCTTACTTGATTTTATAGATTGACACGATACATAGCAGAGCTTCACTATATTTCATGGGCGGTGACTTACTGTTTGTTTCTTTGCAGAATGCTTACAACAGACAGCTAGAGGTCTGTGTGGCTGAGAGCACCCAGCAGGTCTTTATTACAGCCCAGGGGCAGGGTGAGGAGCCTCAACTCGAGTTCTGCCCGTTAATGCTGGATCTGGGGCCTTGCCTGCCTGCCAGCACTGAGGTTGAAGCTGAGGTCACCATCAAAAACCCCTGCTCTTTCCCCATTGAGTTCTACTCCCTGGAATTTGACACACAGTATCTTGAGGAAGAAAAGGTAGCTTATGATTACAGAAGGGATAAAAAAGAAAGAGAAAGTTGGAATGAGAGGGTGCAAGGTTGTTAGATAATAATACTGCGAGTACATCTGGGAGGTGGTGAGGTGGGGGCTCACAAAAAATCATGCCCAGGCTTAACTTTGACAAAGAGAAACATTTGAACAAAGCCATTACCAGTTTTCATGTAAGAACCATATATCACTGAATACTTACTTTTAGCTATCTATCTACCCCTATTTCCCTCTTGGAGATGTCCTCTCTTTATTTATCTCTTCACCTGGCCCCTCACAGCATTTAATTTTTTTCTGTCTGGTTTCCTTCTCCCTCCCCTCTCTTCCCTATGGCTTCATCCTGTGTAGATCCTGCGTTTGATGCAGGGTTATGATGAGAACAACATATTACTGCTGCCTCCCAGAGTCCCTGGAGAAAGCCTTCCCACAGAACTGCTTGAGTTCTACAGGGAGAATTGCTCCCAACTGAAAGATGATGGTAGCTTCAGGCACATGTTTATAAAGCACTGAAATCATATACCTACAGGTACCTGCATACTGCATGTGTGTGTGTGTGTACCTGTTTTAATCCAATCTACCTGTGTGCAGCAGAGCTGGAGGAAGACTTGGAAGAAAATGAAGCTGAGATGGGTGACACCCATGAGGAAGAAAAGAGGCAAAATGGTGCCCACCCACCAGACAAAGTGGAAGAAATACACACTATAACTGTGAAACCAGCTGAATTAGGTGAGTACAACCATTTCAGAAGCAGAACCTGAGAGGAGCCTGACAGGAGGTGAGTGTAATGCACTGTAATTTCCACAGGTACTATGTGTATTATAATGCTTGCACTTCTAGTCGTTTCAGAGATGACCAATGAGGGAAGCAGTGGGAGAGTGGGGCAGCTAGAGATGACTCCTGTCTCCAGAGCAATTGCCCGCCACATGGGCGTGGATCTTTCACCTGAAGGTCTAGCTGCACGGAACCGCAGAGGCATTGCTATTATTGTATATGGAGCCCCACTGACAGGTGAAGAAATTCATTAATTAACCAATTAAACAGTAGATCTTGTAACGTTAATCAAGTAAAATGATAATTTTATGTAATTTACAGAATGTTGGTATTTCAATTAAATATTTGATGACTAGGAGTATTAGCAGTAATACCCAGTACCCAGTTACCCAAGACTGATGAGCATGTTTATGTGAAATTGTCACTTTCCTCTTCTTTTTTAAGATAAGACCAGCACAGTGGCTGATCTGGCGCATCACTACGGAGGGGCATGCCTGAGTGTTGATGCTGTGGTTACAGAGGTGCTGATAAATGGTACTTCACCTGTTAGCCTGACCGCAAGACAACTCTATGACCGTGCTGCTGCGGAGTATGCTGAGAAGAAGGCTGAGGAACCTGGTAAGAATTATGAGCTGTGCATACAGTCAATTCTAATATGTTTTTTTGTGTCATCATCAGATTCCTTCCTGTCTACTGAAATCACCCTCTTCTTTGCAGACTGGCGACAAATGATAATTTAGTGGATCAGCTGATGCAGTAAACAGTACTGCGAAACTAAGAGCGCTCAAGACAGTCAGTTTTGTGGTAGAGCAGTAGTGGAGCGCACTTGTAAATGACATCAAAACTTTTTGCAATGTTTATTTTGGTACAAACATTTACCAGCCAGTGTGGTGAAAAGGCTTCTGAAAATCTACTCGCCAAATGGATAATCTTTCCACATTTTGGTGCTTGCCAGATGTTAATTTTGGACCCTGTAATCAGGCATAACTCTTCTATAGTCAGACAGGACAATACTGGAGAAGAGCATAGGGTCAATAACATCACCCGGTCTGCATATTTCCACCTATGAAACATTAACCGTCTCCGCCCCTCCCTCACCCCTCACACCACGGCTATCCTGGTCCACAGCCTCGTCACCTCCCGCATTGATTATTGTAACTCACTCCTCCTTGGTGCCCCTCACAAATCCCTCCATAAGCTTCAACTGGTCCAAAACTCTGCAGCCCGCATTATTACCAGATCCCCCTCCTTTCACCACATCACCCCTGTCCTCCAGCAGCTTCACTGGCTTCCAGTCAAATTCAGAATCCATTACAAAATCCTTCTGTATACTTTCAAGGCCATTCACAACCTCGCCCCCCCCCTACCTGTCTGATCTCCTCCACATCGCCACCCCCTCTCGCTCCCTCAGGTCGTCCTCCTCCCTCCATCTCTCTGTGCCCTCCGCCCGGCTCAGCACCATGGGGAGCAGAGTTTTCAGTCGCTCTGCTCCCAAACTCTGGAACTCTCTCCCCCCGGACCTCAGAAACATAGACTCTCTACCCCATTTCAAATCACAACTCAAAACCCATCTGTTCCAAATTGCATATTCCCTTTAACTGCCCACATCCATTTTTACTTTCTGTCACTCTTGTCTGTTGTTTTTATTTATTTTAATTATGACTTTAATTGTGTTTTTAATGCTCTGTAAAGTGTCCTTGAGTGTTGAGAAAGGCGCTTTTAAATAAAATGTATTATTATTATTATTATTCAGTTTAATAAATAATAAATTATATATATATATATATATATATACATATGTGTGTTTATATATATATAGAGAGAGAGAGACACACACATATATAGACACATATATAGACTTTTGTTGCATGTCATACCCTCTTCTTTCTCTCTCTCGCTCTCTCTCTCTCTGTCTCTCTCTCTCTCTCTATTTCCTATTTCTCCATTGTCCTCTGTCAAATAAAGGCAGATTTGCAAAAAAAAAAAAAAAAGTCTTAAAAAATTTGATTACTACATATGTCTGCTTCCAGGTCAGACCACAGAAACAGGACCTGCAAAACATCCTGAAGCCTCAGTTCCAGCTCCGCATTCAGCTCCAGCTTCACGTGATACTGTGGAAGTTGTTGCAACACCCAAAAAGGACAGCTGCAGTAGAAACGACTCTGAGGCTCCTCAGGAGACTAAAAACACACACATTGCCCTTTACCTGGTATATTTTCCTAAATCTGCTGGTCTTCTGCTGAGTTTTAGGGTTAGATTGGGACGTTTAAAAATTGTTTTCCTTTTCTCCTTGTATCCAGTATGAACATACTGGATACATCTTTATGTTTGCAAAGAAAGCCTCTCTTTGAAATCTTACTAAATATAAATACAAATTCCTTTGGTGTGATTTGGCTTCAGGGAGGAGATGTGACCACACTTAGCAGTCTCTTGCCTGAGCAGCTACTGGTTGATATCCTGGCAGAAAGATTTCAGGTAAGTTAAAACACAGTCTTTTCCATATATATTGTCGTGGTATATCATGTGACACATTACAAAACAGTTTCAAAATATCCACTTAACTGCTAGAGCACAATGTCACAGGACCCTACCTGTAGTGCATACTCTAAGACAGTTACATAAAAAATGCTACGTGTATACATGAAAAAGGCTCACAGCTGTTTGTACTTATAAACTGTTAGACATCAGATTATGTTTAATACCTTAAACAGACAGAGTTTCACCTAAGTTTGACTTTTGTCCTATCATGTTTGTCCTCTTTGTCTTGTCATTGCTGTTGGTGCTGCTGTTGCGATAACAGCTAAGCGACTGTCACCGTGGCATAGTGATCGATGGCTTGGAATCTCTGTACACTCAGTCAGTGGCAAGCGCACTGCAAATTATTCTCAAGGCCCTTAATAATCGCAAACACATCTATGTAGTCAATTTCTCCGACTCCTACATTGCACTCAAGTCACGGGAGAGAGCACAGAGAGAAACTGAGGGTAAGAAATGGCAAGAGCTCACACACACACATGCAGATTCTGATACAGAGAACAGAACTCACCAAAGTTATTGTATTATTATTTCTGTTCAGTAAGGTTATAGAGCTGTACAGTATGTGGAACTGCCTGTGTGTGTGTGTCCTTCAGAGGCTCTGCAGAGAGAGAAAGTTGACTGGGAGGAGAAGTGGCTGCAGCAGCTGGATGACGAGGAGTATGACGTTCTGCCCGAGGAGGAGAAAGAGCGTATTGTTCAGCGACACCGAGAGAAGCGTAGACAGCAGAAACTCAGGTACTGACTGAAAGATGACACACTGGACTTCATGCATCTTTATTCTATAATTCTATTCATTTATCATTTTACAGCTATTCAGTACACTAAAATATGTTGCTAAAACATTTGAGGTGGGAAAAGGCAATGCAGTCACAGAATCTTGATTGATATTTGATCAGCACTGCCAAGTTTGACAGTTTGATCACAGTTTATGAGCAGTGATTGTCATGATTGACAGCTGCGTTAGAGACTCCTCAGCTGTGATTGGTGCACCGCTGTAGATCCTACGGAATGTCATTAGAGGCAGTAGGAAGGGGAGGAGGGACATGATTTTTTTTAACAGATTATCTGTTTCATGAACTTTCTTCATAATATAGTGACAATTTCAGCTAATATGACACAAAGGTTTTTTTTATAAAAGTTACCAACTGTAGGTTTAACTGGGCAAACTTGTCATAATTTGCTTGTCTCAGCCTGACAAATGTCACCTGTTCATGTTATTTTGATTTATTTCTGTATCATATTTAAATTCATTCAGATCAAGACATTGGGCTCTAGTTTCACAGACCGGGCGCGGCGGGGGCACAGCGCACCTGCGCTTCGCCAACTGGGTGTGGTCAGGCGGATTTTGTAAGTTTGGCACACCGTGCACCCTGGCGCAGCTACTCCTCTTTCCCACCTCCATCCCTCCTACCGGCGCAAGTCAGAAAGAGGGAGGAGAGAAGGCGTGGAGTGGGTTTTACACACATCACACCAATCAAATGAGCCCCTCTCCTCGCCCTTAAATGTGCCGCGCGAAGGTGTAATGAGAGTTTACTCAATTCGCCATGGCAGAAGAGAGCAGCAGCGTCAGACAGCCAAACTCCTCCCAGGAGGAAACTTATGTTTTGGTCCAGGAGGTCTGCTCGCAGTGTCCGAATATACGGAACTGCGAGCAGACCTCCACGGGCTGATGATGCAAAGGTAGCCTGGGAGGAGGTCACCACAATTGTAAATCAATGTTGTGTTTCTCTCGTGCGCGCGCTCTCTCTCTTTCTCTCTCGCAGTCTCACTCTGTTTGTTTTCTTTTGACTTGAAGATGGCAGATGATGAATATATACTCCCTATCTGATGCTGTGGCTGTTTGTGGTTGGCTGAGAGGGATGTGAACTCATTAGTTTGCAGCTGTGTTAATCAAATCAGGTTGGGTTTCCATTACGCGTGCCAAATGTGCCAAACGGTGCCAGTCCCCTTTGATCTGACATCAGATGTGACGGGACAGTCG